AAAACACCGCATGAATACGCCCTTCCGGGCAGTCCCTTCGGGGACTATGTGCGAAGGAAGGAAGGAAGAGTGAGTAGTCGGGGCCGGGGTACTTCCGCAAGGGGGGCCTCTTCGCTGTGTAGAAGAAGAAGAAGAAAATAGAAAAACGTAGACACGTAACCCCAACCGCTAGTTTCAGCCGCCGCAACAACGTGGGCGAGGGCGAACTGCACGATGGCTTGCCCAAAGCCACTAGAAAGAAGGAAAGAAAGATATAAAGAAAAAGAAAGAAATGAGAGAGGGGCCATTTGCGTGTCGTTTCGCACTTTCCCGATTCCCGTTGACGGCCACAAGGATCAACCCGGTAACCTGCCAGCTGTCAGAACGGCACTGTTTCACTCACGGAGGTTACGGGGAGGGAGGAAGGCTCTCAGCTTGGCCATCCCTCTTAGGGGGCCGGAGATTGCGCACCGTCAGCAGCCACATGTGCTGCCTGACGGACAATGCCGCCCATGAATATGCGGGGAAGGCATCGCGGACAGACTCCTGGGACTCGAGTGCGCTTTGGTGCGGGTGGTCTTGGACTTTGTCTGACCCTGGCCCTAATATCTCGGGGTGAGCATTGAACCTCAGGCGAACGTAGGAGTGAGCAGCTTTCAGTCGACATGTGGTAGCTTTGTTGCAGGCGCCTGTCGGTGGTAGCGGTGGCTGCCTTGCATGACTCATGAACCTAGTTGAGAGCCAATGTGGTGAAAATACGATGCTCTACCTGCCTATATGTGGGAGGAAGACAGGGAAAGAAAGAAAGGAAGGAAGGAAGGAAGGAAGAAAGCAAGAAAGAAAACAATAAACAAAGAAAGAAAAAGAAAAAGAAAGAATAACATAAGAATAACAAGAAAAGAAACATGAACAGAAACATAAATAGAAAAGGAAAATGACAAGATAAAACAAACAAGGAAAATAAACGAACAACAAAACGAAGACGAAAACGAAAAAGAAAGAAACAATAAAACGAAGACGAAAACGAAGACCAAAATCAACAACCAAAACAACAAAAGAACAGAAAAAGACACTGACAAATAACATGAACAAAAATGACAATAAAAAAAAAGAAAAGAAAAAAGAAAGACATACATAAATCAATAAAGAAAGCGAGAGGGAGAGGGAGAGGGAGAGGGAGAGGGAGAGGGAGAGGAGAGGGAGAGGAGAGGGAGAGGGAGAGGGAGAGGGGAGAGGGAGAGGGAGAGAGAGGGAGAGGGAGAGGAGAGGGAGAGAGGAGAGGAGGGAGAGGGAGAGGGAGAGGGAGAGGGAGAGGGAGAGGGAGAGGGAGAGGGAGAGCGAGAGAGAAATAAAGAGGGAAGGCGGTTAAGCCTCCCCCAACGAAAGAAAGAAGTCGGGGTGCTCGGTCAACGCTTCCCAGGTGACATCCTTTGCGACCCTTGTCATGGCTTCCCTGCAGACTGGCACCTGGCACGTGAGCTACATCATCATCCGCATTTGAAGGAAATGGATGCTATCGAGAGGATGCGTGATATCGATGCTGAGTTGCTGCAAGTTCTCGGCAGCTCCGATGAGTTTTCTGCGCAGCGTGGAAAGCGGTTGCAGAGATTGGGGACACCAGGAAGGCGGCGTCGTTTGCTTGCGTGTGCAGAGCAGGAGCAAGCTGCCTGCAATGAGACCGACACGCACCAGTCACTGGTGACTCACCGACTCACCGACAAACCGCCGCAAAGCAAAAAGAACAATTGGCAGCCTCGCACTCGCTCAGCTAAGGTTTCGGCGGCGCCAAGAGATGCAAGAGCAGGTCTTGAGGAAGCGTGAAGATGCAGCAGTGGCCCAGCTCCTGGCGAGTGGCTTCTTGCTGCCAGACGTGCAGGCGAGCCCCGCAAGCCCCGGCAAGCCCCGGCTAGCCCTTCCAATCCCGACTCCGCTGCCGCTACCTCACTACCTCTCATTACCCCTTGCCCTGGCCAGGAAGTGCTTCCTCACTGTGACGGCAGCGTAGTGAGGTGCGAGGCGGTGCTAAAGGTGGCCTTCGCAACTGGCCAAATCTGGCCAAGGATCACTCTTCCTTTTCCGGCTTGCTGGCTTTTGGCATGCACACGATCTCTGACACCGCTCAAAATCACCTTCTCTTGCCAGCGAAGGCAAAGTATCGCTCCGCTGCCGAGCAAGCCGCCGCACAGGACTTGGGTGACGTGAATGCTGCAGAGGCGGACTGGAGTGATCATGAGCAGACCGGTACGGATGTGTGTGTGTGTGTGTGTGTGTGTGTGTGTGTGTGTGTGTGCAACTACTTGATAGCGGAGTATCGGATTTGCTTCCTCGTCGTCGCCCCCCCCCCCTGCAAGCATAATCGCAAGCAACAAGAATGCACGTCCCCTGTCTGCGTTACCATCTCACGCACGAACCTGACACACCCTCGGGCGCGCCTGGTGCGCGGGGGGGCTCCCCCCATGCCCTGCAGAAGAAGAGTGTGAGGGGGTTCGCCCCCACGCCCCCAAGAAAGAAAGAAAGAGAGAGAGAGCGAGAGAGATGATCTATATGTATTATTGTATATGTACACAAACGCAAGGTTTAAGGAAGGGCATGCAAGCATAATGGAGCGTAGGTCTGAAAAGCCGGTGTTACATGAATTGGCTAGGAGTATGTCATGTCAGGTACATGCGAACCAGTTCTGTTTGCACCTTGTGATTGTGGCCTTGTGGTGCAACTGCTACGTGGTATCATCTCAGGTCGGGAGGAGGAGCTAGCTGTACATTTGCTTGTATACCCAATTCACATTCAGATTTACAGATCCAATCGTTGGCATCTGGAGGTGATCATTAAGTTTGCACTGGCTTTGAGCCGCGCTGCTTCACGCTGGAGTGGTACCTATACTTGGAAGCAGAGCATGCAGCAGAAGGTTATGGAGCATGCTTGGGCAGGCCGCCCGTGCAAGGAAAAGATCAGGAGCAAACGAATTTACCAAAACGATAATTTCCTCGGATTGGGGGCTTCGTAAGGGGTGGATCGGCGCAAATTTTATCGACCTATCCGCCAAGGGAAGACTTTCCAATTCCGGTGCTTTGTTTAAATCCAGGGGGGCGGGGGGGGCTTTTTTGGATTCGGAACTTTGCGAACCAACGCAAAGAAGTTTCGCAGACACAAGCCCAGGGACGCAAAAACAAGATTGCCAGCCGCAGGGCCTAAACGGCCCCTAAAGCTTGTGCTCAAGCCCTCAAAAGATTCACGGCTGCCGATTTTTGAGTCTGCTGTACGTTTCTTTGCTTTAGGTATTATGTAGCATGTAGTATGGAATATGTGTACTATGTATTGTGGATGTATTGTGCATGTTGTACTGCGAGCTTCAACTCTTACACTGGAACATGCGGTGCTTTGGTAGTATGTACTCCTGAAAACCTCTACAGTTGGACAAGTTGTAGGGTATAGCCTATAACCTATAAATGCTCTATACCCAATAATCTAGAATTCTTTTCATCCATGGTCCATAGCCCAGAATCCAGAATACATAACCTATAACCTATCTATCATAACCTTTCATCCGTAACCCTTAGTCTTTGATCGTTAATCTTTAATCTTTAGTCGTTAATCTTCAATCTTTAATCCTTCATCTACAGCCCCTAGTATTCTTCACTCAATAAGTGCAATAATCTGTACTCTATGAATCCACAATCAGCAACCTACAATGTGCAATCCATATTCTTTAGCTTCGAACTTTCTGATTTCTGTACATATACATATGCATAGATACATATTTGTGTGCACACATGCATAGATAGATCCAATTCTGGGTGAACGTGTCTACGTATTCTTGATGCGCATAATGTCAGCATGCTGAATGCCTTGTCAAAGGAAGCGGTCAAAATGAGAAGTCCTTTGCTCTTGGGATACGAGAACTTCCGTCTTTGTTTTGTTGGAAGAGGCAAGGAGCCACGGCATTGCAGGACCAACAAGTTTTGTCTTGGCACCAGCACCGAAAAACCGGTCCCTAGCTTGCGCTTCGATGGTCCTGCCTTGCGCGCTCAAAAGCAAGAATGCTAGCAGCTTTTTTCGTCCGAGAAGTGTTGCAGACCCCACTGTGCAGGCTCACCGAGTGCTCTTCGGCATCTCACCCTGGCAGTGACCTCACAAGAAGCGAGTGTTGCCACTGTTGCCATCGAACAGGGGATAACAGGGGTTTTCGGATCATCTTACGGCTTCGTGGGTCACAAGGCTTGGCGGCTGTCCGACCCTGGGATTGCGCGCTTTGTCCTCGCCGGAGCCCTTGCTGGAGGCTGTTGCCCACATAGCGGCCGAAGAAGAGGTGCAGTCTGATAGTTGAGATCTCTGAGACCTTCTGCAGGTTCGAATTTTCTGTGCTGGCATTTGAGAGGCGTGCTTTCGGCGAGACAGCAACCAGCGTTTCGATGCCTCCCTTGCAAAGAAGCAGTCTGCTGAGTCAGCTGCCGGCACCTGTTTAGTGGCTCAGCTGCATGTTTAACGCGCAGCCGATGAGAGTGTTACGCTTTGAAAGTTCAATCAGTCTTACTTACCGTGACAGGCTCTTCCAGAATAGTTTGGGATTGGGAGGGGCTCCGCGCTCTGAGGGTCAGCGCCGTAGGTGAGGGTTTTGCGAGCAAGGCTTTCTCCCAGGACGTAGATCTAGAACTGTAGAACCGAGCCTTGCATGATGTAAACATGTGCCATCAAAGAACCCAAAGACTCAAAAAGAGGTCTGTTCCAAAGCCGAGCAGTCGCAGCCGGCACTCTCCTGGGACTGCTGTGCCTTGCTTAGACTCTCAGACATATTCTTGAGCTTTGCTTGTGTAGTTCCTGTAGCTTCTGTTCCCTTGTTGCCAGAATTTGCTGCGTAAGCCTGAGGCATTGAACTGCGGCGGTCACTGAACTATCTGTGTGAACAGCTGAAGTTTGGGTGAAAAAAAGGAACGAGCCGGCGCAAATTGACAGAGCTGTTGTTTGAGCCTTGCAGTGGTGCAGTTTTTTGACGTTTTTGAAGACTTGTGTTTTGATGTGCCAAGGCTTCATTTTGCCTACAAATACACTGGCAGTGCTTGGGATGCCCTTTTGGCTTCCGCGAATGCGGGCGGTGAGAACGTACACCGCAACGAGGCTGTAGACTCATCTGGGATGTTCTGAGCTCTTGGCAACTGATAGCTTTGTTGCGATCTATGTGGTTTCTTCAAGTTTCTTCCTTCCTTATCTTTTCTGGAGACTTGGAGAGGTACTGGGTCTGCTGTTGGGTGCCGCGCAAGGGCGGAAGGGCTTGATCGCCAAGGAGGACAGAGGAAGGCCTGCACAGGTCGCAGGCGCTGCATTTGGGCAATGTGCCACAAGCACACTCTGTATGGACTCGATTGGAGGAGGGTCTGAAGCATCATGTGGAGCTGACGGAGGCCTGACTTTCTCTACCCTGGCCCTAGAGTCGAGTTTACGGGTAACCAGATCGTGCGCCTGGAAGGAGATCGAGGCCATCGTGAATCAGGCAGCTTGGAAGGCCTAGTCGTGCCGGTGCGGAGCTTGCAGTATTGTCAGGCTCTGCAGAGGACGAGCTCGTCAGACCTCTGAAAGAGCGTCACAACAGGCGCTTGCAGGCCAGATGGACCGACCGGCAGACACCCTGGATCTTGCAGGAATGCTCGAAGCTGTCACCTAGGGGTGCGGCACGTCAAGGTGATCGACCAAAGCAAGTCTAAGAGTCAACGAGGAAAGGAAAGAACCACGAGGAGGGTGCCGGCTTGTGCTGGCTCGCAGGTGAACAAGTGGCCGGCAACTGTGAGCCGTTACCTTTCATTTTCAGCCGCTACCTTTCAGTTTCTCCAGTACCTCTGAAACCCCAAGCGACAGCGCCTCAAGCATGCCGAGACACAAAAGGGCGGGGGGGGGGGGGGGGGGGGGGGGGCTGGGACTCTCTTGGGGGTTGATGCGGGTCGGCTTGTCCATGCTCATCAGAGAGATCAGGCCTTCGGGCGATCATACAGCAGCTCACAGAGGCTCGGAGGTATTCTTGCCATGGACTTGGGTGGGCATGCATGTCTGTGAGTGAAGCTCAGGCAATCGCATCAGGTCGAGAGGCCTGGGGACTGCATTGTTGTGCGTGTTCATGAGATCATGTTTCCTCATGCAACCGCGACTCTGGCAAATCTTACGGGCGGCTGGGAACTGCAAAAAGGTCGGCCTCGAGATGGCTGTGGGCACACTTCGTTCCTCCAATCGCGTAGTCACCTTCAACTTCGCAGCGGCCTGGAACTCGGAATTTCGAAGAACTTGCACATGCTGAGCTGCGCGAAACTACATGAAGCTTGAGGACCTCTATGAAAGTGAGGGCTTGCAAGCACCCGCAGATGCTGCCGAGCCTGCTGCTCGGTGGTGCTCAGTGGAGGCCAGCTGCTGACAAAGGTAAACTGCCAACTGCCGAGGCGCAGCCGGCCTGTGAACACCTTTGCACCGCCGTCTAAAGACGTGCTGCCCGGCTCTCAAAAACATGGAACCATGCGTGCTTATAGTGCTTATGTGATCTTGTTTAATCTTATGTGTCAAAGCCGCTCACGCAGGTCCTTGACGGTCGATTCCAACCAGTTTCGTGGCACAGTGAAAGCATGGCTCCCGATTGGAACTGGATGGGCATGGCAAGCATGGCAGCCCTGTGGGGCCGAGGCAACAGACCTTGGAGGCTTCTGCGACACCACTGCAACTCCTGTTCGGCCCCCGAAGCAGCGAGCCACAGTTGGGGTGAGCATGATCATCAAGGGGCGCGCTGAGGCTGCGAGCGCCCGGGCCGGCAGCGGCATTTCCAAGGAGGAGCTGGCGCAGAGAGAGGACGGGGGTGTGTCAATTTTAAAGGGAAAAGGAGTCTTATCAGAAGGTGGGACGTGCGCTGCAGGCCAGGGACCGACATCTTGCAGACATCAGCGAAGAAGCCGAAGAGGCTGTGCAGCAGTGGCCGCCTTAAGGACGTGTAGCAGTGTAGTACTGAGCCGTAGCAATATAGCAGAGCGTTGAGCTTCTATTGACCCAGTCTGCTTGGCATCGTGGCTCAGCTGGCAGAACATGGCAGCTAGTGGCAAGCGGGCTCCGGCGGGCCCGAAGTCGGCGAAACAGGGCAAAACCCCTCTCTTCCCGCCGTGTTCACAGCTTGCGTACTCCAGGCGCGCTGCCTTCAGCTTTTCTCAGCCGATGCGAGCCAGAGTGTCGCCTGGCACGAGGTTCCTGGACAAGCTGGGAGACCAGAGACGGGCTCCGGAATGGACTTTCAACCGGAGTGCCAGTGCATCTTGGCCACACCAGCCAGGCATCGACAGGTACTGCAGGCTTGCTAGACATCATACAGCGACTTTGAGCATTGGGAGATAGGTAAGTGTAGGTGCATAGGCGCGTAGGCGCGTAGGTGCGTAGGTGCGTAGGTGCGCAGTTGTGTAGGCATGTCGGTGTGTAGGTGTTCGGGTGTGTGGGTGTGTTCAAGCGAAGCAGATTCGAAGCTTTTCTGTCACTCTCGCAGCACTTATGGCTAACTGAGGGATTTAGATCCATAGGTCATAGGTCGTAGAACGCCGCCATGGCGAGCTACATGATGCCGGGCTACGGCATGCAGCAGCAGGGCTATCCGCAGATGACAGCGGAGCAACAGCAGCAGTACCAACAGCAGTACCAGCAGCAAATGCAACAGCAACAACACCAGTACCAGCAGTATCAACAGTACCAGCAGCCACAACAGTACCAGCAGTACCAGCAGCAGGCCCCGCCCGCTTCAAGCGGTTTAGGCGGTGCTTTGACTGTGACAGGCTGTGCTGATGCGACTGTTGGGAATATTGTTCGAGGCACCTTCGCCCTACAGACGGAGAATCACGGGCGGCCTGTGTACAAAAAGAATGAGGCAGTGGTGAACAACCCCACCCTAGATGTGTTGATTTACTTCTGGGATGAGCGTGATGGCGCCAACTTCTGCGGCTGGTGGTTTGGACCCAAAGTAGGAGGAGATCAAGTCTGGGCATACAACAGTGAGCGCAGTGCTCAACCACCATCAACAGGGTGGCGCGTGCCCTACGATGGTCAAGTGGACCCTTCCTTTGTCATCAGCACTGGTAGCTACAGCCCAGCCGCCCAACCCTATCCGGGCTATGGACAGCAGGGATATGGACAGCAGTACCAGCAACAGTACCAGCAGCAACTGCAGCAGCAACAGTACCTCCAACAGAAGCAAAGAGATGATGAAGTTGCTCGGCGCAGGCAGGAAGAACAGCGGAGGGCGGAGCAACAAGCAGTCATGAATTGTCAAGCCATCCTTCAGAAGCTGGCAGCTGTGACCCCAGAGAACTATGACCACATCAAGGATGAAGTCGAGAAGATGATCATGCAAGAGATTACCAAGTGTGGAAGCCAGGCCGAAGTTGTCAAGGCCGAGGTAATGCAGCAGTTCCAAGCTGCACAACTGCGCGTGGAGCAAATCAAGCAGCACCGTGCAGAAGAGGAACGGCAAAATCAGGAGCGCATGGAGGAAGCCAAACGGATCCTTGCAGAGCTCGGAGGCCTTGTGGAGAAGGCAGAACAAGACACGGCAAGCCTGAAGACCACCGCTGCTCCGGTGCTAGAATCCAAGTCCATGAGCGAGAACGAAGCCCGAGAGGCTGGCAAGTCTGTCAGCGAGGTTTCCGTTTCTGCAAAGGCCTCTTGCAAGGTCTGTTCGACCTTCATCGTTGAGCGGAGAATGAGCATCGATGCGGTGAAGCCACCCTACCTTGCAGAGCTAAGGGACGAGCAGCTCAAGCTGCAAACACGTATACAAGAGTGTTACAGGATAGTCGTATCATCGACCACCTCTGCCAGAGACATGATTGACAAGGCTGTGAGGAAGACCCACGCCATGAAGGTTTTCGCAAAGCGTACCTCAGCCTTTGACAAATACAACTCAGCCAAGGACGGCTATCTGTCCGTGGATGACATCATTGCCTATGCCAAGGGTGAGTTTCGCTTTCCACTATCCAAGGATGCAGCCGGCAGCATGATGAAAAAACATGGCGAGGGTGGCAAGGGCGTGCCTCGAGCCCTGTTTCAGCGTGTCAAAGTGGCGGTTGGCATCGCGCGAGAGGAGGAGGCTTGTCAGGCACGGAGACGGGAAGCAGAGCAGAAGCGATTGGCTCTGGAGGCCAAGAAGAAGGTCATCGAGGCCGACATCCAGAAGGTCGTCGACATGCTTGCGGATGCAGAGCCTGCTGTAGCAAAGGTTGAGGAGGCAGGCAAGGCCGAGCATTTGTCAAGGGAGTACCTCAGTGAGACCCCAGGCAGAGATGAGATCACCGCCGCAAGCGAGGCCGCAACCGCTGCCTTGAGCGAGGCTCAGAGTGAACTGTCTGATGTCCGCACCCGCTTAACCGACCTTGCGAACTCCGCAGACGAGGATGTCGCACAGTGGGTGCAGTCCGAGATTCGCAAAGTCGATGTGAAGGTGCTGCAGATGGATGCCCGGTTGATGCCAGCCAAGCAGGCAGTCGAGCGTGCACAGCGCTATATGGAGAAGTTAGAGGCCACCGAACTCTTGAATGCGAGAGCAGAGGTTAGCAAGATCCTACGTGCCAAGAAGATGAGTGCAGAGGATCTCTTCATTGCTGTTGACAAAGACGGCGATGGCACGGTCAACCTCTCGGACTTCACTGCCTGCCTCCAAGCTGATGGTTGTCAGCTTGATGCAGAGAAGGTCGAGAAAGCTTTCAGCTACTACGACCTGACCAGCGGCGTCATCAGCAAAGAGATGCTGGTTCTTGCATCTCGGTGCTACTACTTGGTGGTGTCCGAGACTGTCATGACCGAGCACGAGGCGCTTGAACAAGGCCAGGCATTGCGCCGCCTGGACCCACGGGAGCTCGTGGAGATCCTCGAGGGCCCAGCAGAGGAGAAGAACCCTGGGATTCCGCGCGCAAAGTGCCGTGCAGTTCTGGATGGCGCAGAAGGCTGGGCCACCATCACGGGGAGCAATGGCACCTCCTTCTTGATCCCAAGCGAAGGGCTTTTGGATGTGCTCAGAGAAACTCCCCTGACAAGCGAACTTGAGGACAGTACAGCGGTTCGGGATCTTGCACCCAATGAGAAAGTCGAGATCCTGGAGTGGTACCAGAAGAATGCCAACGGAGACGTGCGGGTGAAGGCTCGGGTGAAGGGAACCTCCGACATTGGCTGGGTGACGATGCTCACTGCTGAGGGCATAGAGGTTCTGAGGATCTCAACAGCCCCAATGAGTTGAGAGAGGTCTGTGAGTTTTGACTCCATGGCGGGAGCTTTCCTTAGCTGTAGAGATGTGTGTATAAGAAAACGTTACAAGGCGCTAAAAACGCCAGGACACGACTCTCGATGTGCCCAGCCTGCCGCGCAAAAAGAGAGCCCCCATTGCTTCCTGAAAGGTAGACGAAGAGGGGAAGAAATGAGCGATTGGTTGCAGTTGCAGATGTGACCATTCCACATCGACATGCGGCCATTCGGCCATTCGGCCTGCACCGAGGACTCAGGCTTGGTGAAGGCTTCAGCTGCGGCCAACATTGAGCCCGGCCAGTACAAGGCTGACCGGGACTTCGTCAATGACATCACCAGCGAAGTGCGGAAGGATGTGGATGCGAGGTTCCGCAAAGCTCCGCAGACACATGACGGTGTTATGTGTGTTACGCTGGTAGTTTCATTCATTCCGCATTGAGGTCAGCAGGTTCTAGGGAGATGGAAGGTGTCGTCTGCACATGCCCTCGCAGCTCAAAACCGAGGTGCACCTTCGGGGAGGACCCGCGCTACGATCAGGCAGGTGTTCTGAAGGGGGTGCGGAATCCCGGCAACATGAAGCTTTGGTTCAGTCCAGTCGGGCCGGGGCAGTACCGGCCCTTGGATGGCCTGGAAAGCGCTGCCCGGGTCCATTGGATGTCATCACCCGCGTGGTCACAACGAAAAGGCAAGCCTGCGGAGGATGTCCGTGCCGCGAAGGCTGCAAACTGTGCCCCTGGCCCTGGCCACTACGCGCCGCAGACCAAGGTGGAGCCACGTGGCCGACGAACTGTCTGCAAGAATGCAGGGCAGTTCAGCTTGATCTTCCAGCGTATTTCCACGAGCGTAGGGCCAAACCCGTACGTTCCCAGAAGAAGACCTGAAGCAGTGGAACCTCTCTGCTCGGATGTTGGCAGTGGGCCACCCAGCAGAGGCTAAAAGGATGCCCGGGTGCCCCTGTCCACTTTCCTCTCTGAGCAGCACGGGGCCGTGCCGAGCATTCACCGCCGCCTTCACCCCCTCGTCTCACCTAATCGGGCAGCACCCACATGATTGGCTTCGTGCTGCGACAAAGTAACGTGTAACAGCTAGATTGCAGCTGCGCGAAGTTGCAATGTTTTGAAACTGTCTACAGCTTCTGCGACCGTAGATACCGGGGCGTGACTGCTCAGGAGAGAGCTCTGGCAGAATCATCTCAGGCATATCTTCTGAATCGTTGTAGGTGGTGCTAGTGCTGTTGCTGCTGCTGCTGTTGCTGCTGTCATTCTCGAAGGCGCTGCATGGAGGAGGAGAAGAAGGTCGGACTTTGGTCTCTTGACCGGCTCGTGTTGGCGCTTGTGTCGTCCATGCAGGATATGGACTGGAGAAGTGCGATCGAGCGCGATTACAGAGAAATGTTGAAGGCCGACTGCCTAGTAGGGCCTGCCGGGCCTGAAATATCGAAACGTTGTGTCGGGGCGGGGCGGTGTTCCTGGAAGCGGAGGATCAGATACGAGAAGTTCGGCAACGACGGCAAGAAGCAAAGCGCGAGTCGGTGGAGCAGGCCCAGCAGTGTCAGTAAAGAAGTGGGGCTTGGAAGTTCTTGCAGTGGCCGTGCAGGCGTCAATGCACGGTTTTCCAGACTTCTCCAAGCCGTCCAGCATTTCCGCAAAGCGCTCAGGATGCTGAGGAAGTTGGATTCCATGGCACATGCTCCTCGCGACATCTCCCTTCACACTGTTCCATAGGGCAGTGGATGTAACGATGATTACTTCTGATTTAATGGTTGAGGTGAAGGATTACATCGTGGAGCGTCGCCTGCACCTGAAGGAGGACCTGGACCTGCAGGATGGGAGATCGTAGAATCGTTCGCAGAACAGAAGGATGGCTCAAGGAGACAAGGAGACGGATGAGACGGCCACAGGCTGTCACATGCGGCCACTATTTTTTTTACTTGGGCAGGTGGAGCTCAAGAAGCGCCAAAAGGAGCACCGGAAGGCCATTGAGCACGTGTGGGGCCCAAGCTCTAAGACTCCAAGGGCCTCGGCAGCTTGGATCCCTGGCCTTGCCACAGCTTGCGACATCTTTTTGCGATGTAAGGAGATGGATCACATCAACAATCTGGCAGCACATAAGGAGCTGGCGCAGCCATCCACTCATGAAAGGGCCTCTCTTGAGCCGAGCAGGTGTTCCTCATATTTCTGGCTGTGCCGTCGTCGCGTAACGAATCTCAGGCAGAAGGTGAAGGATCGCGAGCGAGGGCGGCAAGTCCTTCAGGACATGTGTGCAGCTGTGGGAAGCAGTGGGCGCTGCCACGTCCGCCACGTCCTTGTCACCGCGTTGCCGCCACTGAGGAGTGCTTGCAGAATTGGGAGGACACGAAGCGCCATGCACTTGGCACGCTAAGCTTAAAAAGTTCAGTCGTTTAGCTGCCGAGCTGTGTGTTGGGCAGCACACGCTGGTGTCCTTCCGCAGTGTGAGGCATCAAAGATGCAAGGGCTGCCATCACCCATTTCAAGAAGTCTCCAGCGGCGTTCAGAACTCAGAACTTTCTGTTTCTTCGTCATAGCCTGGAGTCATACAAGTCGTCATATCCTGTCACGCGTGGCCCAAGGTCTGGCACTGGCCTGGCCGACATTGTAACCCACCTGCGTTCCGAAACTGGGTCTCTAAGCGCTGGGCTCAGTGACAGCTAGGATGTTTGATACGTCTGCTTGGGCGGTGGCTGGTTTTGGCAGGTGCGCGGGAGAAGACCCCGAGCAATCCAACCGCCCTACCGAAGTGACATCCTTGATTTCCGACATTCACAATTTGTTCAATTCAAAGAACCAGGGAGGGACTCTGCTGAGGTCCCACTGTGAGCGACCACAGAAGGTGAACATTGCTGCCGAGCTGCCAGTCTCCGAGCATCTGAGTGTAAGCTGCGGGCACCACAGGACGGCTCCTGTATACTCCAGGCCAGCGACTCCCAGCGAAGATGCGCTTTCCATGCCCGATGCTCAGCGCACAACGTACCACTTTTCGAATCTTTTTCGGCATCTGCGCGAAATCCATGAGCAGCACTGGTTCTGGCGACTTCTGTGACATGTGCGTTGGGCGTCGGGGGAGGGGCGCACAGATTCAACCCAAAGCCTTGAGCTGTTGCCTTCCGAGGCCTCTGTCGAGTCGGCCAACTACAGGTTCCGTGCGTCGCTTTCCGATTTCGGCTGCGGCCAATCTGGTGCCCCGCCTGGTCAGTGTGCTCGTAACGCTGCTCGTATGCCAGATGTACGGGAAGCAGGTCTGCGATTAGGACGCGAGTGGTGAACGGTGAGTGTCGGTGAGTTTTGCTACCCATACTGCAGATTTCAGATTGCACAGTTTGTGGGTTCAGTCATCCGCGATGTTGAGCTCAGGCGCTCACGAAGCAACGCCTCAAAGAGCGAGGAATGATGTGAAGCCAATTTGACGAGAAGACTTGCTTCTTTGTGTTTTCTTATTTGCAAATGATACCTTCACGAAATAGGCCTGAAAGGCGGTCAAGCCTGACCGTGAAGTGTAGTCTGGTCATCTCAGGCTTCAGATGTAGAGCTTGAAAGACTTCTTAGCTTGCTCTGCAAAGCAGAGCTCGTCTTTGGCAAGCTTTTGGTTCTGACGTGTCATAGGTTTGACTAGGAGAAGTTCATGACCACGTTGAAGGACATCCGGCAGCTCGGTCCCGTACATAGCCTCAAGCAATCTCAAGCCGCAATAAGCCGTACGGTAGGGTGAGGCTCTGGTTTCTTCGCAGTCTCACACGATGTTTGGCTGGTGCCCAACTCGGGTTTCCCTGGTCTCCCTCGTCGAAAAGAAGAAGCGCAACTTGGGTCTTGGGGTGTGTTGGACAGAGAGAGAAAGAGAGAAGTCCTTCGGGAGGGGGCCACGCGTGCGGGAGAGAGAGAGAGAGAGAGAGAGAGAAAGAGAGAGAGAGAGAGAGAGAGACAGAAAGAGAGAGAGAGAGAGACAGAGAGGGAGAGACCTTGGAGAGTGCAGAAGAAGAAGAAGACCTTGGAGAGTGCCTGAGAGAGTGCCTTGGCAGACGTGGGTCAGGGGGACGTGACACGGACATGCGGCGTAACTAGTGTGCCCCCCAATAATGCCTTTGCAAAAAGTTCTGCATTGCACTGTCCATTGCCGGCTAGCCCACATGTACAACAGCGACAGATTGGACTTGGGAGATTCGAAGATTGCAATCTGGACCCCTCTGGGCATCTGATGGCTGTAATCTATTGTAATCTTACGGTACGTGTGGTGGGGATGCTTCTTCTACGGCCATGGCATCGCCTCGAGAAGCCGCTGCTGCAGCCCTCGCCCGTTGGGAGGTGCAAGTGGGGGTTTCAAGCCATTCTCTGATCCTTCTTTCTGCACGGTTGAAGAGGTGGAGGAAGACGGAGTTTGGAAGCCATGCGATGCAGAGGCTGGATATGCCTGGCACGTGCCTTGTGCCAGGTGTTTCTTGGTTGCAGCTACCGGGCCGCTGGGCGCAGGTCACTCGTGCGCTGCGCCTGGCCGGAGCTGCACAGAAGCAGCAGGTGGATTGCGAGGTACAAGGCCGGATTGTCGGACCCCAAATCCCACATTCCAGTTGAACTGAACCTGCAGCATGACAAAATCCAGCAAAGTTCGTGCGCAAACGATTGTTGTGACCTGACATTTGCTGTCTTGTGAGGAAGATCCTGCCAGCTGGACCTTTTCCGCTTGATAGAGCGCGACACGGTTACCGGCGCCTGCAGGCCTGATGGCCTGTCTTATGTCCAGGCAAGTCCTTGACAACAAGCCGAGGAATCTACAGCAGCTCCCACTGAGTGCGTCAGAAGCTGCAGCTGCGGCGGCCGCAGGGAGCCTGTTTTCGATGGGCTGAGCTTTTTGCTCGGCTGAGTTCTCTACGGAACGTGCAGGAGCAGCCCTATCTCGACATCTGTCGGCTTGGGGACAAGTGAGGACACGCAGATAGACGATGCTAGTCAGCTCAGTCCGTGCATCTCTGACAAGTTCTCGAGGCATCTGCATGTCGTTCAAAACGGACGCTGTCCGGATACTTTACGCGAAGCAGTGAGCCGAGCCAGGCATAGCGCCATGTCCAGACAGACAGATGTTGCGGAATAGAGTGCCCGGAGGCCAAGTGCCCGGAGGCCGAGCGCCCGGAGGCCAAGCGCCCGGAGGCCAAGCGCCCGGAGGCCAAGCGCCCTCGACACGATGGGCTGCCCCAGCCGAAGGCTGCGGCAAGTAGCCCGAAGGGCCAAGCACTCAGTCATGCAAAGCAATCGCACCCAAGTGATGAGAGGAATGGCAGCAGGGGGCAGCAATGCCATAGTTGCTACCGTTTTGTCAACAGCTTTTGGCGTGCTCCGCTTCTTCTGTTCATTGCCGAAGTCATTGATTGCTATGGGGCATGACATTTGGTTACGGCGGCGATGGGCTCTGCAATGGTGTGCGCCGGGTGCCCTTTTCAGTCTTTTGCGTCCCTGACGTCTTGTCTAGCGCTGCTGGGGCCAGTAGGCTCAGCAGTAGGCAAAAACAGCATTTTTTTTTGGTACCGGGCACCTGAAGATTGCAGTCTGCGCGGTGCTTTGACTCATGGCTGAATATTTGTTTATGTCATTAGCTCCGAGTTGCTGAGCCCAGGACATGCCGAAGCAGCTCGAGTAGCAGACAGCGTGGATGGCTCTGTTGACGCAAAGACAGGCGCAGCAGCGACAAAGAGTACCTCACGAAGCATCACCAAGTGATACATGCAGATGCCCGACAGAAATCGCAGCTATATTTTAAATTCAAAGCTGTAGGTTCATTCCATGGCTTAGCTGCATCGACTGTTTGCAGTGCGGAACCCCTCTACCTGGAGCAAACGGTGAGCAATCGGTGATATTCTGACATGGTCTGAAGATAGCGCAAGTAGGTGCCCCACTTACCAGAGGCTGTCTCCCATTAAGTGTGGCAATGTTTGTGGCAAGAAGCCGGGCAGCATGGTGTCCACTGGCTCGTGCGTTTCGGCCTGCCCTCCAAAACGGCTGCCACTTTCCAATCCGCCAGGCTCCCAACGCTCCCAATGCTCCGAATGCGCTGAGATCGGAGCCGCATCGGTCGTTCAGCTCGGCATGGCTAGTGTCGCAGAGTGCTAGCTGGCGACTCAGCCTGCGCACTCCAGCGACAAATGCCAGACTATGCTCTCAAAGGCCGTTCGCTTCAGTACACGACATCCTCGCCAATGGAGATATTCCTTTTCCGCGTGTTCGGGTGGTGGATGATTCCGGTTTAGTCGGAGACTATTTCTTGGGAGAGGCTTTGGCCTTGGCGAAGCAGCGCCGGACAGACCTTGTTGTCTTGTCAGGGCAGGTGGAGCCCCCGCTCTGCCGCCTTGTGAACCTGCATGTTTATATCGATGAGGTCGAACGCCAAGCAGCCTCCAAGGAGCAGCAAAAGCGTGAGCAACGACTTCGGGAGTTCAGCTTCGACCCAGCGATGCGAGTCAAAGGAATGCGCTTCACTTCCCTGATCGATGAACACGACTTTGAGAGAAAACTCAATCAAGTTCGAAAGTTTCTGGAAAAGGGCCACAGGGTGGAGGCTCGCATTCTTCAGAGCCGTGGCAAGCCTGAAGATGTCCTGGACATAGCGCTGCGTATCATCGCTGAAATACGCGACTTGGCCAAGCCCGAATATTTCGAGGAAAGTATCCGCGAGCTCCAGATGGCCATCCACTCGCCCAAAAGTCTCAAGCGTGCCGGGCGCGCTCCACCCGACGAGCTGAGAATGCGACTCTGGCCCTGCACTCCCGCCCAGGCCGCAGCCTTCCAGCTACCTGCTCACATCATCGGCCCACGACGACGCCGAGGAGCAGCGATTGTTGGAGTCGATGACGGGCCGCAAGACGAGTTTGCCTGGAAACTCAACCGAAGGCCTCGGCCACCACATAGTTACCAAGATCGGAGAAGCAACCTTCGAAGCCGGGCTCTGGAATCAGACGACTGACATCAGCCCAGTACAGCCCAGTACAGCCAGCGCCTGCGCCTCTCGGCCAGCTGCGCAGCTCATCACTTGCAGCAGGAAGTCTAGCAGGACGTAAGTACATCTGATCCTTGACGAACGGCCGTACATCGAGCAGTGGGCAAGCTGGTTTGCGCAACAAAAAGGTGATTGACCGTCAGACGTGCCACACTCTTGTGGGTGCATCCTCAAGACATGACGTGCTGAGTAGTGTTGACTGTGCAGAATGGGGCAGGAAACGAGAGAATCGCCTCCATTTTCGAGGAGATGAGTGCCGTACAGAAGCTTCGTCGCGACCGTTTCCGCTCGCAGGACGCCCTCTGCACGCTTCATGCACCACATGGCGAAATGCATGCAGCTGACTCCAGGCCTACGCCAAGGCTGCCCAGGCTCTTCGAGCCCACGGGGAGCCAATTGCGAGCGGTGCTCAAGCCAAGGGCATCCCGGGCATTGGCTCGGGCATGGCCAACCGCATTGACGCCCCCTTGCTGAGCAGCAAGAAGTAGCTTAAAAGTAGCCTAAAAGTAGCTTAAAAGCAGCTTAAGTAGCCGGCAACACCACGCAGCACAGCAGACTTTGAGGTGATTTTGGCGACGGGTGAGCTCAACGAGCTGGAGGAGTTGAAAAAGGACAGCGATGTGATTGCCCTGCGTGAACTTCGCTCGGTGTGGGACCTAGTGCTCGTAGAAGCCCCGCTTGATTAGCTTGAGCAACTTGCAGAAAGCGTGCGGTGCCAGCCTTTGATGATGCAGTTTCTTGATGTTTCTTGCGCATCCTCCGTAAAGATGCGAGCGTCCAAGGTGCACGGCATTGGAGCAGTTCGCGCAGCTGAGTTTGTGGAGAGGGGCATTCGCTCGCTTGCGCACCTGCGGGAAGCCTCGGCCAAGAACCAGGTGCATCTTGGAGTCTGAGCGGCCAGCTTCACAAATCGACCATAATTGACGGGTGAAAAGTAGAAATAATCAGAGCAGGTGCACCTCGACGCTGCCCAGGCACACTTGACAAGCTTCCTTGCTCAAATGAATTAGCTACAGCTGCGTCCGGAGTGCTTGTTGTCCTCGGCAAAGATACCGAAAGCAGGTGATTGGACTGCGCCATTGTGAGGAATTTATGAAGCGGATTCCATATGCCCCACGTCCACAATTCAGCGTTTCCCATCGTTGTGTTGCACAGTGAGGTCGATGAATCTATGCATTTCTCGTTGAAGCGTAAGGCGGAGATGAAGGAGCACCATGACAAGCTTGAAGCCTGTCGCCTGAGCAACCCGAAGTTACTTCTCACAGCCAGGTCCCCAAGATCCCCAGGGCCCCACAAATTTCACAGCAAAAACCCCTCATGCACCTCCAGTCAGTGACAGGTTTGTGGTTCCTACCGCCGTGGTCGACCCGACTGTGGTGACATTGACTCCTTGCTGCGTTTTGTTGCTGGAGACTTTGCTGGACACGTTGCAAACTTCGTGCGCAAGCCATTTTTTGCCAATGCCTTGCAGTTGCGAGGACGTTCTGATCAGCCACCCGGAGTACACCACAGCCAAGCGCGACGCGAATGCGGGGGGTAAACTCCTGCATGCCTTTGCCACCCTGCCAAAAGCAGAATATGAGCACGTCTGAGCACTGGAAGCACGTGCGAATGAGTGCCATCTGTAGAGAATCTAAAGGCCTTTCTAGTGGTCTGCCGAGTCTACCTCTGGCAAGGTAGAGTCGCTGAAGCATGCCGGGTACGTGACCGCAGACCTGGCCTTCGGCAACACAAAGTTTATGGGAGTATGCAGGTTGCGACTTGCATGTCTCCTCGGGTTATACGCTTTTCAATCAGCCGTGCGTATGCACGTTTGGGGCCAGGCTGTCAGGAGAAGAGCGGCTGCACAGGCGGCTGGACATCCGCTGCCTGCCCCATGACCAGTACCACTTCGGTCTGGGACCCAACGAGTGCCAGATATTGCCAGCATGGAGCTTCAGGGTTAGCTTCTCTTTGCAGCCGTGGTGGCGACGGTGTTCAATCATTCTTGTGATCTTTGGCTCGTGAACAGTTAAGAAATTCTATCAGGTATGCTCGCCAAACAACAATACTGGACACAGAAGAACCTCAAGCAAAAGCTGCACATTTTGCAGTCACAGCAGCTGCAAGTCCTGCTTGATGTCCTTCGTGGCAGAAAGCCAAAGTTGACTTGTCTTGATCGCGTCGTCGCCATGAGCCTGGACTGGAGTGACCGGGATTTGCTGGAGCAGCTTGGCAGCACAACCGATGGCCAATCTAAGCCGTAGACGAATGGACCATGTGATGCTGGCGAGCTGCACAGGTGGGCGCAGAGGACTTTGCCCGAGTTTCTGCTGATGAGCATGCAGGACTCATCTAACAGGACCGGGCAAGTCATTCTATTTGTTTGGCCGAATCTGGAAGAATGTTCTAAAGACGGGAGTCAGCCAAAGTTTGCCCTGAGGAAGAAAAGCATTGCTGCCACACCTTGGCAGAAATTCGAGCTCTCCATCGCAGAGGTCCAGCTGGAAGGCCACAAGAAAAGAGCAATACTGTTGATGCAGGATGTAGCGCCTGCAAAGCAGATGAGCGCTTCGCTTTCAATCACTTGTCTCTTGGCCCAGGCGAGGTCAACTTGATTGGCAAGAAGGATGAGCCAATGTTTCAGTTCGACATCGACCTTGGCATGCGTGTGGACGTTGAGAAGAAAGTTGCACCTGAGCCGAAGTGTTTTTGGTTTGTGTTTGAGTTGCGTGAAGAACGTCGCCGCGTGTTGTAGTGTGCTCCATTCCCCCCCCCCCCCCCGCCGCTCCCCCGAACCCCCAGGTAGATCGGCCCAGAAACGATGACACAGACTACTGGCCGGGCATCGCACAGATTGTGCACTTCGACTCTTAGCTGGCCTTTGGTGCAATGCAGGATCCTGGACCACCTCTGAAATGACAGCGAAGCAAGTTTCGTTGCCACATGTTGCCACCATATGCGGGCAGCGCATTAAGGACAACGAGAACCTGAAGCCACCGATCATTACTCGGCTGCAAGAGCTACCAGAGGATGTGGCGCCCGAGGTGAACTGGTATCTTCAGGATGCCGGCCTTCCCCAAACAGCGCTCTTCCCAAACCCATCTCCTCTTCCGTGTTCTTTGGTCCTTCAGGAGGGGATGGGCCGGCAGTTCATATGGCACGGATTAGCCAGATGGCACGCGTATGCAGCTGCTGAGCGGCAATGAGCCCTAACTGTCACTGCCCTTGCGAGTTGACGTGTATCATTGAAGGGAGACCACGGAGGTCCAAAAGTGGCTCAAGCAAGAGAGGCCGCCTACTGTGGAGGACGGATTGGCAAGGTGGGAAATTAGTGGCGTTGCCGTCGACGATGTCTTTCTTCATCAGGATCCACGTGAATGTCCCTTGCCAGCTCCATCCTTTCCCCCGTTTCTTGCGGAGGCCCGCAGGAGGCCGGGCAAAGAATGTCTCAGCGGGATCAGCGTGTCGGGTAACTCTAGATCTCCGGGTGCTGTAGCAGAGTGAACTGAACATAACTGAACGCCCAGTACCAGTGAAGGTACGAGGACGAAATTCGACAGATCCTCTTAAATTCTGATGATGAAGAGGACGTTGCTGCTTGATGTTGCCTATGTGGCTATGTGTGGCTTGTGCTGCTTGATGCTGCTTGCAGCAGCATCCGGCAGAATGAGCGCAGCATCTCCAGTGAGGAGGACGACATGAATCCCAGTTCCTTCATCGATGACCAGGAGCCGGTGGGCTGCGGTGGGTCTTTACGTTACGCACTCTTCAGACCAGGGTGCACTCGAGGGCATGCCGTACTGACACTTCCCGCATCAGCTTCGGTCAGGACGTTGGCCTGTGCTTGCCGGCCGGGCCGGGCCAGAGCCATGCGCTGATGAATTGGAGGATGTTGTCGGAAGCCGAGGGTTATCCCGAGTATGTCGCTTGGAAGATGAATGTCAGAATTTGTTAGATGTCTGGGCCAGTGGAATTTCAAGTTGACTCTCTACTGGATGCGTGAAGACTCGCCATCTGAACATTGAAAGGTCAGCCCTCCAGTGTCCGATGATGACGACTTCGACCCCTCCGCGCCCTATGAATTCAGCGAGGGGACCTTTGAGCGCAAACGGAAGGGAGCTCCACCCAAGATGAAGAAGTTCGGAAGATATCCGTTCCTCCCATCCATGCTGGCAGGCGGGGCAATTCAAAGGCGAAAGCAAAATCTAGAGAAGCGGGCACGTGGCTGCACGGTATCTGTTGCAGGTCTGGGTGGCCCTTCGAAGGACTGGCTGCCACCCAAGGAGCATGCGATTGGCCATCCGGAATGGTTTCAGAATACCAGCAAGTCAGTCGTCCCCACCAATGGGGTCACGCACTTGGACCACATATTGGAGAAGGCACGCAAACGCAGGGAAGAGCTTGCGGCCACCTCTGCATACAAGCTCACTGCTATGCGAGCGGCGGATCTTTGCCTGGCTATCGAGAATGGAGACGCCATGAAGGCCTTTGCCAAGCTCGACCATGAGACGGCTAGTTGCCCTCACCCTGACACCGGGCGTTGCGCCGCGCACTACTGCATCGCCAAGGACTCCCACGAGATGCTACGCATGGTGCTCGAGGCGCGGGCCGATCCGGATGCCCGCGACTCTTTTGGACAAACTGCCCTGATGATGGCTGCCAAGCAGGCCGGACGTGCAATGCCATGTGCCTTTCCCCGTTCAAAGTGTGTGAGTTGCAGGCGCCAAGTGCACCTCATGTCGACTTTGCTTGCACTTCAGGGCGACGAGGAGTCGGCCAAGATGCTTTTGGAAGCTGGAGCGGACGCGACGCTGACGGACTCCTTGAACCGCACGGCCTCAGAGATGGTGAAGGCCGAGCTCAGTTAAGCCTTGCCAAGCTTTTTTGCCACTGAACGGCATGGGGTTGTCAGAATCCACACGGTTCTCAGGTTCTCCAGGCGCAAGAGGAGGAGGAGAATCCCCTAAGGCACTGGCGGGAGAAGATGGCTGGTGAACCCATCCCAGATGATCCCGCGAAGAAGAGCAAGAACTTGAAGGCTTTGATCGATGACCGGGAGCGGCCGAAGAAATACGGGGTTCTCTTGCTTGATGCCCTGGTCCAAAGGGATTTGAGGACGGCTGAGGCTGCAATGGAGGCTGGTGCCGATGTGAATTTGCCGGACGACAGGGGCGACGCTGCCCTCCTGCTTATTGTCCACTGCCCAGCTGTCTTTCCACGAGCCAGCATCATGAATCTTCCATATTCATCCCTCAAAGGGGCTAGCATAAGCTAGCACAAGAAGTGCGGGCTGAGGTCAAGAGCAAGTGGAAAGACTCTCAAGGCTTGCAGAGCCGTCTGGTGAACAAGGTGTTCAAAGCCGGGGCGAGCTTAGACTTCCAGAATCTACAGGGGAACTCCGCGTTGCACTTTGCGTCGCACCGAGGCAGCCTTGAGCTGATCAATGTGCTCTTAGGTTTGAGAGCCAATCCCAGGCTCACGAACTCGGAGGGCAACACGCCCTTGATGTATGCGGCTCATAGCGGTCACGAGGAAGTGTGTGCCGCACTGCTGGAAGCCGCGGCACCTGTGGACGTGAAGAACCGTGCCGGACTCACTGCCCAGACAATGGCGGAGCGGAAGGGGTTCAAGTCCTGCGCTGCTCTACTTCACGCTTACGCGCTTGCACCGAAGCAGGCCGGACATGGCAGATTGCAGCATGTGGTCTCATAGACATGTACGTGGTCTCATAGGCTCAGTGTGTGATGTTTTGTGATGCTTGCCGAGTTTTGTGATGCTGAAATGTCTGCCTGTCTCGGGCAGGGAGACGAAGTCAAAAAAGTAGAGGCAAAGCGGAAAGATGCCAAGCCTCAAAAACTGGACTTCGACTACTCGAAATGGGATTCTCTGGAAAGAGAGATGCGCGAAGATGAGGAGGAAGAGCAGACAACTCGTATGCGTGAGGCAAGTCAAGCTGTTCGAAGGCTCGGAGGGTCTGCAGGCTCCTGTACCTTCGAGATTCAGGGCTTGGGGTTCAGGATTCGGAGCTGCTGCCTCAATTTGCCACCGGGTGCTGAAGTGCAGGCAGAAGATTTCAGTTGGGGCCGCCGCAGGGGACTTGAGATTTCCAGTGGTTGCTTTGGCCTCGTGTTGTTGCTTTGAGGATTGCTAGCTCTCCATATCACAGTTGTTGTGGGATGCGCCGAAGTGAAAATGTTTACGCCATGGCTCGGCACCTTTCGTGTCCTCAGAGGGTAGCATCTTGTTCCACTCAGGCCCGGTGTAAGAGTCCCTTATTGATTCTGCAGCCCTTTGGTGGTTTTCACACTCTGTACACTTAAGCAATGCCACTGAATCTGCCCCCTTCCCTCGATCGGGGTTGTCATCTCTTTGCTCTGCACTTCGAATCGTCGAAAGCGCTAGACCTGTTATCTTCCACTAAGACCTGGGAGGCCGATGGCCAAGTTTGAAGACCTGGGACCGGAGGCCTTCGGGCTACCTGCGGACACCCCTTGGCCGCCGGATGCCTCGACGAGGAAGAAGGGACCCTTCGACTATGGACATTGGGACAAAATCGTTGATGACATCGAGCGCCAAGAGAAAGTGCTGGACAGATACGATCGCTTGCAAAAGAACCCGCAGTATGAGTACCGCGATGGCCAGAAGATGCAGGTGATTTTCTGATCTCCGACAAGCCTTTGTTCCAAGTTAAGCGGGCACGTACGACGACTCCACATTTGAGCAGCTGTGCCAAAAGCCGTTGCAAATATTGGAGATGAGATCGTAGCAACACACAATCCCTATTGCGCTCGTAGGCCTTGCCTTGTGCGGCTGGAGCTTCTCTTCTAACAGCGCAGGGTCATGAGAAAAGGGTCGCTGCGCAAGTGAAGGTTGCATTTTCCAGTGATCCAGGGCTGCATTAAACCAAGAGTGACGCCGCCTGGCATGCAATGTGTCGCAACCCAGGAATGCTGTACTTCACCGGCAGCGCGGCTCCGACCTCAGTCTCCTCACGATGTTTTGACTATTCTGACTTCTCGATGGTTATAGTCATGCTTCATTATCCGACAGTGTAGATTTCTTGCAGCAGGCGCTGGGAGTGAAGATGCGCCTGAGACTAGGCTGCAGTTCAGCCGCACCAACCTTGGCTGTTGACCACCTCCCGCCATTTTGGTGGCTTCGGGTAAGCAGGAAAGCCATTGAAATGGGACTCACGCTCAGCGAGTACGGGCTGGAGAACCGGCGCACCGGCGAGAAGGTGCTTGGAGATTCGAGTGGGTGCACACAGTCTGTGCTGTGGACATGAAGCTGCTTGTGGTGTCTTGTTTTTCTCCTGATGATGCCGCTACAGGTTGCCGCCAGCTGTGAGCAAGACATCTTTAGACTCTCGACTTCAGAGATGTGCTTGAGTGGTGATGACAGATGTTAGCCTTCTCCGCTGGGCAAGTAATGGCACGCTTGGCTATTTCAGGTGCCTTGGGCATGCCTTACCTGGAGCCCAACGAGCGCTGAAAAAATACCTGGACTCGGAGGCATCAGCCACTTTCCTTCAGCAGCCATGCCTGTGCCTGGGCACAGGCTGCTTGCTTGCGCTAGGCTCTCGGAAGATCTTGCTGGACCGGGGGTGAAGCAGTCGGTGAAGCCAGCACATGGCAAGAAGGTTCACACCAGCAGGCGACGGCCAAGCCTTGAAGACCTTTAGCGGTTTTGTCGGCGAATCCATGGTCGCTGCGGCAGACCGACGCCCTACAGCGAGCTTTCTCGGTGTTTTGTAGGTGCAGCATCTCCGCACGGACGGAACCCCAAAGCGAGGTGGAGCAAAGGAGCGACATGTGGTTCATAAACACAGGGCTGAGAGAGGAAGAGGCTCGGAGTTCTTGCCGCTATCGGCAACACACAGGAAGACCCACCCAGCATAGATTCTTGACGTTGCGGAGCCTGGCGTGGCAGGTGCTTAACTTAGTGAGTTTGGTGTCAGACGCAGCCTGTGGAGCCTCAAAGATTTTGGTTCAGATTCGGGTGGGGAAGCGCGCATGGAAGGGCGACTTTCCAGCACGTTGAGCGCGACTGTGCCCCGAGCTTGTAAAAATCTCCTTCGGCCAAGGTCTGAGGGCGGCGGGTACTGGTCGGCTGAAGCTTGGGATCCAGACTGCCGCGTTTATGCGGGTGCTGATATCTTCCACACACACCACTACGCCGTGGAGCCAGAGGGGCGGAAGCCAGTTCACACTGACACACCTCAACCAAGTCTCAGGACGGCTTTGCTGCATGCGAATGCTGCATGTGAAAAGGTGAGCTGTCGTCATCCTGAAGAAGCCGTGAAATAGGTACACCCCCATCGTGTAATCCACTATAAGTACAAGTGCGCCCTGAAGCATGAGTGTGGTACATACCTAAAGCTCATGTCTGAGAACTGAGCCCCGCCTGCTTTTGCCCAGCCTGAGGGGGCGACAAGACTCAGCTGGGTACTGGGGTGCGCTGGAGAGCGACGCGGCCGTCGAAGTCAACATCGGCAGCCTGAATCTGCACAAAGACGTAGACGCTACCCGTCGAACTGCTAGAGTTTCTTTTGACGAGGGTGCTACGCACCCAGTCCAGGACAAGTCGCCAGCATCAGGCCAGGAGGGCCTGACAAGGAAGACCAGTGAGTACTGGAATTCAGCGAATTGGGACCTGGATCAGCATGTTGCAAGGAAGCACCGGGAGGTCACTCCCTCGACCGATGCCCCCAGCAACCTATCCAGAAAGGAAAGCAATGCCTACTGGGATGCCGACCAGTGGGATCCCGATCAACGTGTTTATGTGGGAGCCGAAGCTGGTCAGACGATGCACCTCACAGCCGTCATTGACCAGGGTGAAGACAAGCTACTCCGTGCGTGGACCGGGGGCTTGACTTGCGCCACTTATGTCTCCACAAGCACGACGGCCACCCTCGACCTAGCTGCCACTGCAGGCGAACCTCCACTACTGAAGGACCTCTACGATGTCACAGCGGACTCTGTTGGCTCTGGTAGTTTTGGAGTTGTACGCTTGGCTCGGCACTACAAGTCGGACAAGCCCTGTGTAGTGAAACTTGTGAAAAAGAGCCAGTGTGGCGCCATGTACAAATCGCAGGTGGAGGGTGGGCTCTACGAATCTTTGCTGGGCATGTCAAAATCGACCCCGCACAAGAACATAGTGCAATATCTCGACGCGCTAGAAAGCAGCGACCACTACTATGTCATCATGGAGAACCTCAGCGGGCCAGAACTTCTGGAAAAGATGGAGCGCGAGTTTCCAATCACCGAGAGACACTGCCAGGAAGTAATGAAGGAGGTTGTGTCTGCCCTGGCACACATCCATGATGTGGTGAAAATCTGCCATAGGGACATCAAGCTGCTCGGCACGGAGCAGCATCGTAAGAACCAAGATGGTAAGTTTCCTACAGAGTCACAGCCAAAGCAAAAAACAACTAAAGCTGAAGCGAAGGCTTGACAACTTCCGCTACCGAAGCCCGGAGCCGGGTGCACCGTTGGTATTGCTTGACTTTGGCTTTCTCGCCCGATTGGACCAGCCCTGGGATGGCAAGAAGTGCGGCACTCGCTTCTAGGGACGCATTCATGGGCATTCATGTGCTTCGGATATCGACAACCAACTTCGCAAAAGCATCAAGCGCTGAAGCCCTCTCACGTCAGATCGAGGCATGTTCATGGCCCCAGAGATGCTTCAAGAAAGTGTCCAACAAGCGTACATTCCTGCGATGGACATGTGGGCAGCAGGAGTACTGCTGCACCTCGGAGTCGATGACGCACTACAGCTACTTTGCCAGTCACGTTTGGCTTTTTGTTTTGCTGCCTATGCCAGAAAGTCATGTCTAAGGTACCTCCTCTTTACAGGTGACTGCCCGGTCCAGCCCGAGGACATGCAAAAGATGGTACAAGGGCCAGACAGCAAGGACATTGTGCTCAAGGCCCACTGGCAGGTGAGCCTACTGCAGATTTGCAGATTCGCACAACAGCTGCTGCGAGGCCTTGCAAGTCGACCTCTTGAAATCCGTCTCTGCGGAGGAAGCACTTGCTCGATTTTTGTTTCACCTTGAAACACCCTGTGCAGCATGTGTACACTTTCATGGAGATGGACTTGCCACGCCTCAGGCGACGAACCTCCTCGAGAAGCTGCTGGATTTGGAGGCCTCCTCATGCTTTGGAAACTTGATGAAACTTGGGCATCTCTTGAAAGTCTTTCAGTGGCTGTCTGTCGAGGCACCAAACCGTCTTCGTGCAGTGGATGCGCTGCATCACCAATGGTGCCCTGGCAGTTTGCCCACAGCTTCCGAAACCTTGGGCATTGGGACATGCAGGAAATCGAGTGGAATCCATGCGCCGAGGCTGTCCATGGATCTGGACAGCGGAGCTCGAGCCGTGCCAGCTCGAAGAGAGTCTTACAGGCGCATGGCCAGCAAGAGCGCCAAAGAGGCTGGCCCCCAGAGCCGTGTTAGGGGGGTATCTTCTGAGCAAAGACGTTACAAGCTTCCAGGTGGCTTTGCAGGATGTCGAGCCAGTGAAGGAGGGATAGTCCCTGGCGGCTCCCGGGACGGAGTCCGGCAGATGCCAGCGTAGGCACTGCCTGCTAGTGCAGCACTTAAGTGGCTGCTTTCATGTCGCACAGTGGACAAGATGGACTCAAAGAGCCCTTGTTCAAATGCAGCTCCCAGTTTTCAGCCAGTTTCACGCTCTTTGTCCGAGCTCGGCTCGCGAGTACTGTGCAGCCTGCACTGCCTGCGTCATGAGGCATCCGAGAATATCAGAGACATCCCAAACCGCATTAAGCCATGCAGATTCCTGTAGCGGGCAAGTTCCATTCGCAAGCTGAGATTTTCAAACATTTAAGAAAGGCCACGGGCAGCACAAAGCTAACAACACTGTAGGTGGCTCATTTCCTAGCCTGCGTGCTGCCTGTCGCCTTCCCTTCGGCGAATTGTATGTACACAGATCGTGAAGGACGAAGAACAGTGATCTATGACTTTCGCTTGCCAGTGAGGCAGGCGTCCTCTTGCAGGAACCCTGGATCAAGATAACAGTCTTTGCCGATGGTGCCTGTCCATACACGAGTGGGCTCGCCTACCTTGTTGATCCAGGATGGACTGCAAGTGCGTGCAATTTGATCTACGAATCCATATCAGTCCGTTCCACTGTGCTGGAATTGCTTCCTTTCATGCGATCGCAAAATGACAGCTCGGTTGCGCCATCTGCTTTGTGCCGCAAACCGGCCGATCTGATCAGAAGGGCTGCTGGATCATGCCATGTGACAACATATTGCGACTGGGTACTCGTGCCTGCCATGTTGGGCCAAGTGACAATTAGGAGCTGCGGTGGGCGGCCTGGAGCCACACGAAGCGCTGATGTTACCGCGCGCGATCGCAGCGGACGCATCAAGCCCGTTGCTGCCCCCGGAAGTGAGCATGTAGTGCAGTTGTCGCACTACGCACCCTTGCAATGGCATGCACAGTGATCTTGTGTGATGCACAGCGATCTTTTGTGGGCCTAGGTAGGAGCGAGAAAGACAACATGGGTAAACGAGGCTTGGAGTCTGAGAGCCTTGGGCATGTACTGCCAGTTGAGGGGCTTGTTATGTCCCTGATCGTTGACGTGCTGCCAATGCCTTACTTTACAAGCATGCAGACGTCGACGACGATGATGATGACGACGGAGGCTACAGTTCTCGAACGTCGAAAGAATTTGTCCAGTGCTATGCATAGAGTGAGCCGCCATAGTGGTAGTATGTTGCTTAGCGATGGACTCGCAGAGCGAAGCCTGATGAGAGCGGGTACGACACGCTTGCAGTTCATCCAGTGCAACAAGCTAAGACCTAAGGCCTGTAGATTTGACACATCTTGTGACTTCCTGACCACCGTCAGAGAATAGTGACAAGAGCTGGGCATTCTGGGCAGCTGCCTCCTTACCCCTGTCGTTGCTTGGCGAAGGCAAGAGGCGGAAAGCTTCTGGTGGATTCTCGGACCGTCATCGACTCAGTCAAAACAATGGAGCAGGGCGGAGCCTGCGTTTCAGTGCGTGTCACCTTGCTTGGATTCCGAGATGCTCCGCCGGATGATGGCCAGTCTGCTGAAATCCAGAACCGGTCCTCAGATACTTTCCAAAGCTTCAGTAGGTTTTGACACTCGACACCGGAACCCCAAGACCTGTAACCTTGTTGGTGACACTGCGTCTGGTGTGGCACTGATTCAGTGCCAGCGAGGGCTTGGAATTGATGGGCTTTTCAAGGCTGGACCAGATGCTTGCTGGTGGAGCAGGGCTTGCAGGGCCACAGCCTTAATGCGAGAGCTTGACATTTTAAAGCTAGGGCCAGCCAGGATCGGATCTGGGTTGCAGGCTTGGAATGGGCATGCCCGGCATGGGTATGCCCGGCATGGGCATGCCCGGCATGGGCATGCCCACGCCCGGCTTGTCGGTACCAGGCCTGCTGCCTCGAGTGCTACTTGCTGCATCTATCTTTCCGCTGCTGTTCGTTGCTGCCTAGCCTGTGGAGGTGCGAGCGCCGCGCCGGACGGGCTGCCATGTTCTGATGAGCTTGAAGATGAAATGCTCCCTGCATCTTCCCCTCCCTGCTTTCAAGTGCTTTCGAAGAGACATCTCCGAGAGAGTTCCGTCAAGATATTTTCACTGCTTCTCGATGGCAGGAACTGGATCCTTTGAAGCCAGCCACTACACCCATGGACTTTTCCAAGCTCGGGGCGAACATGCCCAGCGAAGCACTCACGGTTGCCTTCGAGTATTTCAACGTGTCCTTCGTGCTTCCAGCTTGGCAAGGTCAAGAGTTCCCCGTGCCCAGAGACATGGTGGCCACCCGTCTCGCAATAGAAGACAGAGACCAGGAGTTTGCCCCGTGATGCCGTGATGTCCGGATAAGCACCCGCCAGGAGTACCTCATGACTCCTGAGCACCGCCAGATACTGCTGGAGGCGCAAGACAACTTGCGAACGCAGCAGCCCCCAGCGCTTCTACCAGCTAGCGTCAGGAGACGGGATGCGATGTGGATTGGGCACCTGACGAGTCCAAGGCCGTAAGCTTTCAAGCTGCAAGTTAAGGGCCCTGTGAATGCCTGTGATGAGTTGGCTCAGCTGCCTGCTGTCCTCTGCAGTTGATGTGGTTCGGCGGTTGCAGCCCATGCAGAGATTGCACAATACTTGTGCGACAGTCGTTGAGGATAGACTTGGAGATTTCTCCCAGTTTTGTTGTATGCTAAAGCGGTCTGGATTAGCAGGCAGGCAACGGCTGTAGCAGATCACGTGCCTGCCACTTGGCGCATGAGCCCATGTCGCCGTGGGCGTTTCTGGCCGGCCATGTGAACCTACATGCTGACGGCCTGCCGGGGACTGCACCTCTGATGATCATTGGGGCATGGAATCCTTTCTCTTTGCCGAGCGAAGACAGAAGGTGCATGGCTGCAAAGGCAGCAAAGGTCTTGGACATGATTCCGAGGCTCCTTCTTCTGTGCACGCCACGTGCTCAACACCAGACCCCTGACGAGCTGACGCGAGAAGTTGAACAGACGAGAGACGAAGCTCGCAGTCTGCACTCAACGCAGTTGTGCTTTAATGTGTGTTATTGCGCTGGGAGGATGATGGAGGGCCTCAGCACAGAATCTCAGAAGTTCACCCTTTGAAGTCCACTTGTCAAATTTTATAGATTTTGCATGAGGTCTGCGAGTGGTGGCAGAAGTACCAGCAGCTCTTTCGACAGCAGTGGCGCAAAGCCAGCCGTGCCGAACGACGCGCCCACCTCTTCGAGACTGCGCCCTTGCTTCCCAAGGCAGAGGGAGGGAGAGACAGAGAGCAGCCATGGCAGCCCGGTTTCGGCGGGCGGAGTGCGCAGAGAGAGAGCAGACAATGTGTGTGTGTGTGTGTGTCACTTCGCACACCGACGGGACCTGTCGACATGCGCCCTTCGGGGCAACTCCTTCGTTCGGGAATTGTATGTATACAGGAAGGAAGGAAGAGTGTCTACCACTGGTCCTGTGCAGTTCCGTTTCATGTTGTCACCACCAGGCCAAATCTCATCCGCGGCTTGGCAGCACACGCGTCAGCAGGATGTTACTTCGCTCCAAAGGCTGAGCTGCATCCGCTGCCTTTCGAGGCAGACACTCACCGGAGAAGACGCAGAAGGATTTTCCGACTTATGCCCAGAATTAAACTTGGAGGACCTGTCCGCAGATCCGCAAGCCCCTTATCTGCAAAATTACCCCGATGGAAATGCACGCGCCAGCCTGTTCTTTGCTTGGCTGCTTGCTTGGAGCGCAGGTGCTCCTGGATGTCCTGGACATGCGACTTGGACAAGAGACCCTCAGAACTGCCTCCAGTAGAAACCTAGCAATAGATGCATGTTGAAGGTCAGGCACACAGCAATGGAAGGAAGTTGAGAAGCCGGGCAAGTAGAACCGCTTGTTTTGCAATGCCTGCGCTGGATCAATAAAGATTCCGTCAGAAGGGGCGGTCAGAAGTGAATCCCACACGTCTGCCGACCAGACTCTCCGGCGGTAGCCCGAACCCCATTCAAGCATGATGTCCCGCGCAGCAGGGCTCAGTGTAGCCTCAGAGAATGTTGTAGAATTGGTGGGGTTGTGGCAGGTCATTGGGGTTTTTCGCACATTCAACCAAGGCGGTGCCACACCGACATGGCCGTGCAGAGAAAAGCCCAAGACGATGATCTTGCGATGCTTGCTTGCAGACAGTCGCTCGCGCTGGCAATGTGTGTGTGTGCTCCTCAACTCAAGTTGCATCGTCAACAAGCAGGTTGTCACGGGGACTGGCCAGCAGGAAGTCGCGCCAAAGGTCTGGTCTGCCTCGGAAGCTGTTTTACCTGAGAGATGCTTGGCAGCTTTGTTTGGCAGTTGGTGCAAAGAGAGGTTGATCAGGTGATCGACCCCCACAGACCACAGTGCACCATCCTTCACCCCGCATCTTCAGGATCCAGTGACCACAGCTGTCACGGGACCCCTTCAGGGTCAAGGAGAAGAAGCCTCGGCGTGGAAATCAAGTTCATCCGACCTTGTCATGGAGTCAGAGATCTGGTGGACTGTCCTCTTCCGCCAGCACTCGATATACACCCTGCTGTCTAACGTGCTGAAGGATGTGCTTGGGTTCTGTGGGGTTCTGTAAGGCCTGTTGGGCATGGTGCTTTAGTTCTTTGGTCCTGCGCCCTTGGGCAGGAGCGCTTCGAAGTTCCAGGGCTTCAAAAGCATCTTGAGCTTCAAGCAGACCTTCGCCAGCAGACGGGAGAAGACGACCTCGGAGACAGCAGCCTGACTGAAAGTGATTGCCAACATCCCTCAACGTTGCGCGCCTTCGCGCATGCTGCTGGGTTGTCACAGGCGACGACTGGTTGGAAGATCTGGCCATTTGGTGCAGTGCGGCGGTGCTGCTTTGCCTCCTGGCCTGGCTAACCGTCACATGGTATCGAGGTGAGGCGGCAGTTGGGCCTCCGCGCGACTTGTGCTGTCCCATGTCGTTGGAATTGTTTACTGATCCTGTGGTGGCTGCTGACGGCGAAACCTACGAGTGCCTTGGCGCGATTAATGAGATGCCGCATAAGAGATGTGCTCTTCTTTCCCACTGGGCATCCTCATGCAGAGGCGGTGGTGGATCGAAAAGTGGATCCTCGAGAAGTCACCAGAAGTACGGCCTCGTCAAGGAACGGGTGTGCTCTCCCCTATGGGCCACGGAATTCTTAGCCACACCAGGTTAGTGAGCAATCAAACAGTCCGCCGATTGGCCAACCAATGGCGCGAAACGAATGTAAAGGCGGACTGACTGCAAGCACGTGGTTAACGACGCTCGCCATCAGCCTGTCAGCATTGTCAGTGCGACCCTGCTAGACAAGGCCAGGCCAAGCAGCCACGAATCTCACAAGCCACCTGTGCTTGAGCTGGAACCGACGTGCTGGTGCCAGCGCGAAAAATGTTGGGCGTGTGCTGGACCGGGACGCGCGTTACTGTGACCTGAGCAAGATGGATCAAGATGGCAGCAGAAGCGTCGATCAGTTTCCACCGAGAGCATGCTATTTCGGGCGAAAAAGATGTCTGAGGGATTCCACATGTTATCATATGTTACAGTATACCATTTGCAAAGCTTGGAGAATGCGTGAAGTTGCGGACTCTGGCCATGGCAGCGCCGACTGGGCAAGGCCGATGGATGCAGAGTGCCGTTGGCTTCGGGGGCTACCCGGCAACTTGGTTGTGTGGAGGTTGCGCTTCTCCAATGGGCTTCTTGGGTTTGAGCGTTCTCCTCCTCTGATATCACCTTCCACGGAGTTACAGCAGAAGGTCCACTGGAATGTTGCGACCTGCAGCATCCGGGCTGGGCGAGTAAGCATAGTTACCTCTATCGTGCTTCTATGCCACTCTACGCGCCACCCCCCACTTTCACGTTGTGTGTGTGTGTGTGGTTTTTGTCACGCGATGAGCTGTAGCTTCGGCTAGGGTAAACTCGCTTCTTGAAGTGTGAGACTCTGTGTCCTGTAAAGCTGCCCTTCTGGTTCATGGGCATGTAGCTTTGCTAGAAGTGGGTCCATGTCGCACCAGTGCCCGGACCTGCCTCATTGTTGCAGATCCATTTGTGCCCCTGCTTGCCTCATCGGTCATCTGTGCAGGCGACAGGTGCCGGGTGGCCGTCCAATATAGTCATAGCCCCGAAGATCGCCCGCGAGTGCCTGTGATAGGGCCAAGCTTTCTGGAAAAGTTATATCCACACGCTTCTCCTGACTTACTTCCATGAGGGATCAGGAGAACCTTTCCCGTGGGAAAGTTGAAGCTGAGGAGTTCCAGAATCGGCGACTGCAGTACAACCTGGAAGAACCCGGAGAATCATGTGCAGAAGGAAATCTGGATCAGACCCGGCAGAAGCTGCAGAAGGATCTGGCGAAATTGAGGCAGAAACAACTGATGTGATCATCTTTCGCTCCCCTTACACCCTAGTGTAAGGCGATTGTGGGTGGCTCTCGGTACTTCCTATTTCTTTATACCCGGGGCTTCCGCTGCGAAGGCTCTTCCACGAGGTAATGCTTCACCTCCACAAGGGTGATTTCAAGCCTGCTCCTGGTACACAATCGCCGGTGGCGGCAGCTGCAAAGACATCGATTGCCCAGGGCGTGAGGACGGTGCCTCGAGTGAAGATGCCGGACTTTCGTGACAAACTGAAGGCTGGTTTGAGACCACAATCTGCGTTGTTGGCACGAAGCCATGTGTCAGCAGGGAGGTACGTTTTTTTTTTTTCACTCCTGGATGCGACCAAACCTTGACCCCCCCCCCCATGGCAGCACTCACTTGACGTTCCAGCTTGTCGCGGCAAGGGTGGGCGAGTGTGCGTATCGATGTGTTGTTGTTGTTTCGGAGGCGACCACATGTGGTTTGAGCTCTTCATTCTTAGCAAAGCTTCTTCTCTCAAGTTCTGCCAAATTCGGCCAGGGTGGATGGCAAAGAATCACGGAGCCCTTCGTGTTCGATCAGCCTCCAGATCTCTGCCCTTGCTACAAGTCCCGCAGCGCTTTGCTGTTCAAGGCAGGTGCTGGTCAGAAAATACTTCAAGGCTGATTGCTCGCTGGCTCCCTGCCTAAGGCAAAAGCCACGGTGGGATTCCAGACAGCAACTGTTCTCAGCGACCCTCTGGCAGCACAATTTGGCCCGTCCATGCTTGGTGACGATCGATCCTTTCAAGAGGCATCTGGGGCATCTGGGCAATCAAGTGGGCGTAACTGCTTCACGCAACTGGCCGCTGGAAGTCTAAAACCAGGATCCGTTCCCTCGGATTGTTGGCAATCCATTCCTGAATGGATGCGGTGTTCCATGGTGGTGCTGTCGACTGGTCCCGGCGGAAATGGGGTAGCATTCCACAAGCATGGAACGGCCTGGCTCGCACTGCAAGAAGGCCGAAAGCGCTGGTGGCTTTACCCACCGTGTGGTCCCCCCAGCGAAGCTTACGATGCTGTTGCTCTTTGCCCAGCTGCAAAGCTTGCAGAGGTGGTTTCCAAGCTGCCACCAGAGCAGCGACCTCTTGAGATCGTCCAGGAGCCAGGCGACTGTGTTTTTGTTCCGGCGCTTTGGTGGCATGCCACTTATGACGAAGAAGCAACTCTGGGCATAGGGTCTCAGTTTAGCATGGCGGAAGTTGACATCCTGAAATGTCAGCAGCAGTACCCAACAAGCGGTTTTGCTTTGTACCACGCTGCATGTGAGATCCACAAGACGGAGGAGAGAAAAGCCATGGAGTTGTTTGAAGCTGCCATCGAGCGCGAGCCTCTCAATTTCTACTTTGCTACAAACCAGGTTCTGTTTTATCTCAATATGGTCTTCCACCCACGACTGACGATTTCGATAATCACGCGCCTCCTCGGGCGAATAAGCCAGCTTGACGCACGCCGACAGATGATTGTGCAGAGGTTCTTCGTTCCCACCATCTGCAACTTCGTCGAATGGCATGTGCCACATGATCGGCTACTGAAGTATTCTGTGCAGGCAGCGAGCTCGGCCTTGCACTCTTTGCTAGAGTTATTGAGGCCACTGCTACCTGGAGGTGAGGCCTTTCGCTTGGGAAGTGGTTTGCCTTGGAATGTCCTCCACCTCTTGGAATATACCTCAAAGTGCTTTCATTGCGGCGTGGTCGCGCCGGGTAAGCCTGGTGAAGCTGGCAGTGTCCGTGCCCACCGCTTTTTCTGCCTGCGGTGCACTGCAGAGCGATCCACTGCTCGCTGCCGACGTTGTGGTGTAGTGGATGGTTCAGGCCAATTAGGTAGCACAGGCACCGCCTTCGTTCAGAATTGGTATTGTTCATCATGTTGGGCAGCGTGGAAGAAGGGCATGGATGAACCTGGGTGTGCGTCGTATGGTAAGAGCCCACGTCTCTTTCAGGAGGTATGGGACATTGTGGACTAGTGATGAGCGAAAGGTCCGAAAATGATCGAAACTGTCCGAACAGATCTGGTTGCACATGTTCATTCCTTGCCGTGATGCCATTCATGCGCTTCATTGCAGAACATGTACAGAGTTTGGCAGTGTCATGGGCAGCCAGCGTCAGGTCCAGTTGAAAGGGTCCGCCGAACAGATCCGAAAGGCCAGAAGCAGTATCGTCAAGTGATTTGCAAGAGTGCCAGTTCTGCTAGCCGCTAGAGCACTGCGGGTGGGGTTTGCCGGCTCACCGCGGGTGGCTTACTGATCGGTTCAGAGCCTACGCATGGGATGCCAGCAAAATTTCTGGCGCACAAGATGGGACTAGCGCCGCACGGACTTGCCAGGAAATACTAAGCTACCAAAGTCAGGCTGAGCGCTTGCAGCCCACAGCTCTTTTGCAGGCCCAGCGACTGCTCCAGCGTGTGCTCATGCACTGCTTTGCACCAAGCATTCATGGAAGCTTCTCACCACGACAGCAATGCCGAGCAAATGCTGAGAACATGCCAACTTCATGATGTGTTGAGGCAACTGGGGCCGCAGCGAGGCCAAGGTCCGCCGGCTGCTGAAACCCAAGCCCCGGGCACAGTGCAAGTGGAAGCACGCGAGAGACTATGACATCTTTGCAGGTCATGTATCCGGCTGCATGCACATGCTGTGAGGGCAGATCCACTGACACTGAGCATTTTCGGATCGCATTGCAAGGATTATCGAGTCGGCAGTGCTGCGGCTGTCGCCGATGAATACACTGCCTGCTGGGCAGAAGACGCTCAGTCAGACACAGACGGCTCCTCAAAGACTTGAAAGAGGTGTGTCAGAAGGGTCACACTCTGGCCGGCATTGCTTTGCTGATGCTGATGCTCCCAGGCCTGTGATCTCAATCGGCGCAGATCTTAGCATCTTTGCACTATGGCGTGGCAACTCCCCCCCCTCCCCGCCTACCATCCACATGCGGCACTCGCAGTAGCAGCCAGCAAGACGACATGCGGCAACACTGCAAGGGCTGCCTCGAGATACGAGGAAGCCACTCAACCTTAGAAGTTTTTGCGTGCATCAGCCAAACATCAACAACGTAGTCCGCGGAAGAAAACGCCTCGCAATACTTGGGGCGCAGACTGCTGCTTGAGGGGCGGCGGGGGGCGGGGGGAGGGTGGTGTCGGCTTGACTTTCCTCACAGGCGGCGCCGGCGATATTCTTTAACAGTCTTGGCGGAGGTTTTTGAATCCTAAGTGCCCATTGGTCACCCTCAATAACAACAACTGAACAGGCAGATGCAAGATCAGAAAGTTTGCGGCCTAGGCAAGGACAAAAAGGCGAATGACATCGTGATCCCTGCAGCCATTGTCTCGCGACAGGCCGTTGTTGCAGCATGTTGCTTTCCGTCGCAGTAGGATGCAGTAGGTGTGTTGCCAGTGACATCATCTCGTGCTCAATGGCGTTCTCGGTTATTTGTATTCCTTTCACAGCTTGTCTTAGCCTTGCTTCAAATCTTCATCAGATAGCATGCGGAGTGCTGCTTTCACCGTCTCAGCACTGCGTCCTCGAGCTGGACATCGATCGGGGTGCCATCTACGTGCTGAGCCCAGTCCGAGTCGTCAAGAATCTGCACAGCGGTACCAGTAGTAGTTTTGGTTGCACCAAGGTGTTTGAGAAGTTTCTTTTCTGCATGAAATGCATTGTGCTCACAAACCATCCTGGTATGACGACGTGAACTTGACGTGAACTAGATCTTTCGCACTGGGCCGAAAGATTCTGCATCATGCGGCATCATGTTGCAAACCTGGCTGGGTTTTCGTCCCTGTGCCATCTCCAGCTCGATGTCATGTAGCATGTGGAATGCAGGGGGATGTTTGCCTCGCGCCGGAGACGAGGATGTGACTTGGCTGGGCCGCACCGGCAGCCCCAATACGGGGCAGCAGCTAAAGCAGCCAACCTGCCTGCATTGAGCATTTGTCGCCTGGAATCCCCAGAGGAGATTTTGAAAAAGCTCCAGAAACATGCCGCAGATCCAGCGATGGCAGAGTTCACTTGCCCTATCTGCTGGGAGCCATTCTGGCAGCCTGTACGGACTGTATGTGGCCATGCCTTCTGCGAAGGCTGTTTGTTGAAGTCTGTGCTAGCACAGCTGGGCTACGACCAGCCAGACGTGTCCTGCCCAATGTGCAGGCATCCACTGCACGTAGAAGATGTGACGGCCGATGAGGCATTGCTAGCCCGCATCAGATTGGTCGTGGCTCAGAAGTCTCGAGAGTCAGAGCCACACAGCCGACCTCATGCTGGGCGACTGCACCGTGGATCGACTCGTTCCCCAATCGCTGCAATCGTCGAACCGATTTCGGTGACTACGACAAGCCCCCGAATGCTGCGTTGTACTGGGCAACCTTGCACACCTGCACCAGTCGAGTGGCCGAGGGCTTGCAGCTCCGGTGCACAGAGAACACCCTTCCAGGGAAGCTGGATGCGCGCAGCTCCTGACTCGCGACCCGCAACCTCTGGCTGCGTCGCCGCTTCCCACAAGAGTGCTTTCTGGCCGCCGAGCTTCTCAGCTCGTCCTTCAACGTCAGGAGTTTGGGCAGGAAGCACCGACAATCAGCTGTCAGAAGGCGTTGAACCCCAAGTTGAAGCGGAGACTGTGCACGCGCGGCTCTGGCCAACCTGGCCGACCTCCAGGCCGAACACCGAGCGCTCGGATCGAGCTCGTGCCAGAGGGCATGGTACATATGGTGACATGGTCTCTGAGAATTTTGAGAATGTCCCTGCAACAGCAACGCCCTCTCACAAACTGCGGCCCTGCTCACAGCCATCCAAGCAAGGCAGGCGCAGCGACCGAGTCTTGCCACTCGGTGCCGCATCAGAACAGCGGACATCTGCTGCGCCTCGCAGCTCAAGGGGAACACGAGCCAAGAGGCAGCTCGGATACGCTCAGATGCTTGCAGATTGAGGTTCTTGCTCCTCTAGTCTCCAGACGTACCTGGCGTGCAGGACTCCGAGCCACTCGCAGACTGCCGTGCTCGTGAATGGTGATGCAGCTTCGAGACGACAGGCAGGGTAAAAGCAGCGCTGTTAAAGCACACTAGTGCATTTCACGACTACTGGTATAGTGACACTACAACCCAGCCAAAACCGACGGCGTTGGCTGGTTTGGTCGTCCTGAGTCCTGACCGTCAAGGGATTGCAAGCAAGACGCACGCTGCGCATTTGAGACGCGTGGTCGCTAGTTGATTGCTGGCAGTCTAGGTCTAGGGAAGTCACATCGCCCACGGGTTTCCCATAGTGCTGCCATAGTCAGGAGCGGGCTTCGTGCTGGGAAGCCTGATCTGGCTGTGAGGACAAGGATCCAGTATAGGTACGCGTGACCTACAAAGTGGTCGGAGATGGTGGGAGTTGTAGCTTAAAGGCTTAATTATCCTGCTTGCAAGATGCAAGCGCGATGGAGCTGTAGGGCTTCGGCTCGCCTTTGGGCTCTACTGTGTCGTGCGGCCTTGATGAATCATATCTTTCAGTCATTCATCATGTTATTTCAAGGGTGAAGGGTAGTGGCTTGTCGTCTGCTCTGCGCGGATGTTGCACATGTTCTCTGCTTGCACATCTCGTTTCTGTGTCTTCCGATGAGCAGCGCATGCCCGTTGCTCCAGCCAGGGTTATAGTTTTGAGTGACGTTCACGACTCCGCATCCTTAAGGGAGCGGGCCGGACACCGCGCAGCGTTTCAAGTTTCGAAGAAAAAGACAACGTGTGTTTGTGCATCGCAGGCCTAGCACGATGGCTCAGAAGCACTTCGTTTGCTGCTTTCCACGTAGAGAGTTGCTTGTTCGGACTGGCTGGGGCGTGACCGCTGCGAGTATGCAGGCTGATGTGGGCGGCGAAAATCAAGAATTTGGGGCGGGTGGGGGGATTGGATTACACTGCGAACCGCCACGGGAGTTTTGGCAGAGGTCTGCCTCTTGAGGGCTCTGGGCAGATCTCGTTTTCTTGGCATATCTTGGTTCCAACAACTATGTATCTCCCACCGAACTCTGGCAGCAAGATCGTGCTCCAGTTGAACACAGCGGCGGAGGAGCTTCGAACCCGAAGCTCCTCTGGGAGCCTCCTCGCGTCAAAGTCGAAGTGCAAGCGGGCATGAAGGCAACCCACGAGGCAAGCTGCGAGGCTATCAAAGGAAGAGAATGGAAGTACTTGTGCAAACAGCAGTAGAAGGCGGAAGCAGAAACGGGAAGCCGTAGTGATTGCACGTCCTTGTGCTGCTTTGTTTGTCACGTCATGATCGTGTCGCGCCATTGATGTTGAACGCGGCTGGTGGGATTAGGCCGTTGAGGAAGTTGGAAAGGGAATGAAAGGGACAACTTGGCTGGATCATTGGGCTGGGTGGCAGACGGAGGGGATTGGGCTTCTGGAGGTGATTGACTGCAGCACGAACGGCACCTTCCTGAATGGCCTGCGGCTACCACCGAAGACCACGGGCAAGGTGCCAGATTGCAGTTTGTTGGAGCGGCAGTGTCCATCAGAACTTTGAAAGTCTGGCAGAAAGTAACAGGGATGGATTGTTTCGTTCGCTGAGGTCCTGGTTTCGCATGGTGACGAACTCCTGCTGCAAGACCCGGCCAATGACCAGGAGCCAGGGACTAAGCTGGGCCGCTCGGGACTTCGAACTGCAGCTTCTTGCGGCTTTCCTAAGGTTCGGCTATGTTGTGAACATTCAGGAACTGAACGTGCGAGAGCAGACGAAGTTACAGGCCAACGATGACTGGCAGACGGGGGTGTCAGACCGCTTGCCGGCGGGGGGGGGGGGGGGTTGCTCTGACTTCGTAAAGGCTCCACGGCGCCTCCTTTCGACTGAGGAGTCGGGGGGCCCAGTTCCAGCGACCTGGCGGCTGGGTTGACCTGCCGGTGGCGTTGCAAAGCAGCGCCTCTGCAGGTCCGCAACCATGGGCCGTGACTTCCAATGAGCGTGTCATGTAGCAAGGTTTAAGTTGGCACGGGTCCTTTACATAGGGGTCTGCTGTGAGCCGAACAAAAGTTGGACTAAAAGAAAACTGCCACATCAAGGCCAAGGTTCCAAGCATCGGCATCACCTAGCCGAGACTATATATGCCAGTCATTCGTGATGAGGTATAAAAGTGCTCTTTTGCTCATCATGTTATTGATGCGGTATACCTATGACCTGCATGGTTCGAGCGTTGCAGCTTTTCTTTGGCATGCTGGGCGAAGACGCTGACGCCGCTCTTGGCATGTAGTGTAACTGAGCATCATGCGCGCACGAATTGCTTTTCCGGAGCGCTTCGGCTCATTCAATTCATTCACGTTCCTCGCACAGAAACTTCCATTGACAATGTGTTCGCATGTCAAGAAGCAGCAGGAAGTGGAACTGTCGATCCTGGGATATAAGAAGCACCGAAAAGAGGAAGCATTAGGAGCATCAGATATGCGCAGGCTCGAGAATGCCTGATTTAGTTCCATCCTTTTGGATTTCTACAGCTGGACCCCATAGCCATTGCCATCTATAGTCGCCAGTAAAGTATGTAAGCCATGAATGTGCATGAGAAGTTCTGAAGTCATCGCCTGCGAGGCCCGTGCTGCAACGGAAAAAGCATGATGCAAGTTTTGTGATATGTTCCATGCTCGGTTTGTGCATGTCAAGACACGATGCAAGGCTCTTGTTCTCACTTTGCCGCAAGAGTGTCTGACGTGCCAAATGCTGCGAAGTGGCATTGGGTTTGATGGCATACTTGCGAATTCACGATTGACTTGAGCCACGCAGGCCCATGGAAGGAGGTGCAAGGGGAGATGAGGCTCCATCTTGTACTACTGCGAAATAAGAGCAGATTACTGTACTCTTTGACCCTTGAGGCCGCGGCTTTCGACAGCCTTATGGTTCGAGGCAGCTCCCACGTCTGCTTCCAAGGGTTGCGATGTTTTGTCGCAGTAGCGCTTGGTTGATCTCTTTGCCAGACCCCTATGAAGAATCCGAGCATGCTGATGAGCATCCTGGCTGCATCCCGTGCTGGATAGTGAGGCTTCTGTCCAACCAAAGTTGTGTCTGCAGGTAGACTCAAATCGACAGCATGTGACGGCTCACTGGCTGAAGTTACAACTGTGCACTTTTGCTCAGGGCTCGCTCGAGGTGGTGTTGCTTGAGACACAATCTTCCGGCGGCAGTTTGCTTTGTACTCGTTGGTGCTGTCAAGGCTGGTGGATGTACTTGCATGTTGTGCAAGCACGGCTCCCTGACTAGAAACGAGACATGCGGTGACAATGCCTGAAGGTGACTTGCAAGAATGCTGGATGCCTGGTTCATGCGAAATCTGGCCGAACGGAGGTTAGTGTAGGGAATTATGCGAACTTGCTGGCTTCGTGAGGTCGGCAAATGGTGCTGGTGCTTGTTGCGGCGGGCTTTCTCGCCGAGGCTCGATCGTTCGCTCGGGAAGTTCGCGCTTGGAAAGCAAGCGGTGCTAGGTCGCAGCCTCTTCTAAGCCTGCCAGTGTCCAGCCGAGACCTCGAGAGCTACCCAGGCGCGTCCGAGCCTTGATATGGAAGCCCTGTCACGCTGGTACACACAGACGCGCCGAGGCGGAAACTTTGCCAACGCACAAGCAGAGGGCTGGCAAGACAGCCCACCAGCGGTCAGCCGGCCACATGCGACGCTGGCCAATGAAGCTTCTCCCCTGGAGCTGCCCACCTCTGGAAAAACGCTGGTAGCTGGATTCTATTTGACGCCTGGCCCTCATTCATGCTCACTTGCGATGTTGGTGCCCAGGGCCGACGAAGTCCTCAAGAATGTCCCGGGATTCAGAACCTATTCCTGATTCAAAAAATCAAGCCACTCAGATAGCTCCCGAAAAGTGGTGAATCGTAAGCTTGCAGCTGTTATGCGATAGCTTCTTGTCTCCCAGACCTCAAGCCCAATCCTTCATGCAGAATTCAGGAGTGACTGGCAACTTCCTCCGGGTCTTGGCAATAGGAACTTGGACGACCTTGTTTCCGAGGTCGAGCAGTCCTGTGCCAGAGTTGGGCCAATAACTAGACAGCAAGCTCTGCGATTAGTCATTGGCATGGGCTACAACCCAGAAGCTGCCATAGCCAAATGGCAAGAGGTGGTATCCTGGAGGAGACAGCATCACATGGATGCCGTTCGCGCACGCCTCAATGGCGAAATGTGCAGCCAAGAGCCTGTGCGCTTTTCACACGAAGCAGACGTGTACAGCAGGCTGTTTCGTGGTTGCCCATGTGCCTTGTTGACTGCAGATGGCCGCCCTGTATCGGTGTGGCACGCGGGTGCCGCAGACATGGGGAATGTGGGTGCATTACTGCCGGAGCAATGTCGGACATGGAGCCAGGAAGTCTTTGAGTACGCAGATTTGTGGATAGCTCGAGAGACCGAAAGGACGAAATGCCTCACTGGCTACATTCAGATCTACAACATGCAGGGCTTGAGCCTTCGACAGGTAACCTCAGCAGAGGTCAAGGATCGGCTAAAGGCGGCTCTGTCTGCTGGTGGCTTCTATGTTGAGGCAGTGGCGCATATTTATGTGGTGAACGCTTCGCGCTTGTTTTCCATGGCTTGGAAGCTAGTTCGAGGATTCCTATCCCCCTGGACAGCATCGAAGATCACCGTCTCAAGTTCGGTCCCAGAAGAGCTAATCGCAGCATGGTGGCTTTAGGACATGTTGCTTTGCTTTGTTGGGCTTATGATCGTAGCTGCACTTGTGTTTCGAGTGACTTTAAAGAAGAAATGGCCGAGGCAGAATTAGGAGGCCCCACCTCGCAGTCCACGGACGATCTGCACAGACTCCTTGCGACCGCAGCTGATGCGACATCTTCTGGACCCTGCTTAGCAGCGGTGCGAAGGCCACAGATCGTTGTGCAGGCGTCCCCCAGGAGGGTATCTGAGGAAAGTGTCAGTGCAGCATCCAACTCCTTGACAAGCACAAGATGCTCTTTCGAACCAACGGCAGAAATGGCAGAAGCCGTTCTTCACTCAAGTGAGGAGGCCCTGGAGCCGATCCCAGACATTCCGGGAGCCTTGCATGTCGCAGGGTTCTTCTTGCGGCCTGACCAGCTACCGCCTGGCTTGGAAGACAGAGACTTAGATGCCCTCGTTGAAGATGTGCACAAGTCGTGCTCACAGGTGGCTGCGCTCTCGAAGCAGCAAGCTTTGAGGTTAACCCTCGGAATGGGCTATAATACCCACGCCGCGATTGCAAAGTGGCAGGAGGTGGTGCAGTGGCGGAAAGCCAACAGCATGGATTCTGTCCGGCAGGAGCAGGCAGACAAGATGCGCGACACAAGGCCTGTAACCTTTCCCTATCAGAATGAGGTCTTTGCCAAGCTTGTTTGCATTAGCCCGTGCGCTCTGCTGGCAGCGAATGGCACGCCCGTGTCAATCTGGCATGCTGGGACCCTTAATGCAAGCGAAGCCGCTTCACTGCCATCGGAGCATGCCACTTAGCTGGCTCAGCTGTGCTGTCACTGTTTCTGTGTGTGTGTGTGTGTGTGTGCGTGTTCGCGTGTGCGCCTCTCTCTGCGTCTTGTAAAGAAAGATCCTATCAGTTTCTGGCGCTCACACACGTGGCCGGCGGATCACAGAAAATCTAGTAGAAGCCCAGCGTGGCTTCCAGCACTGGAAGGCACAAGCCCTCAACATGACAAGGTCTTTATCAGCCCAAAAGGAAGAAAACAAGCCTCGGACCTGTGAAGCCCTGTTTGCCTTAATTAGCTTAAAGTCTTGCAGTGTCAGCAGGCAGTACATGCCTTCGGGCGCACTTGGTTGTCTGTGCTCGTGAGGGGAGATGCCAAGAAGTCGAAGGAAGGGAGCAAAGAGAGGATTGTCAGGTTCTGCACCCTGCCAACAGAGGATGCCGTGAATGTCGCAGGGGGGTCCCAGAGAGGTTCCGGGGAGGTCCCCAGAAAGTACTTATAAGTACTTAGTGCAGCGCTTTTGTGTGCTGTTCGGCAGGGAGTTCCTCTCTCAGGTCTCTGCTAGGTTTCGAATGCTCAGTGCTGCGACTCCAAGGTGGCGCAGTGGAGCCGAGCAGTCTTTGAATACAAAGACTTGTGGATCAGCATGCGTAGCGAAAGCCAGAAGAGACTTTTGGGCTATGTTCAGGTGTACGACATGCAAGGATTGAGTTGGCGACACTACTCTTCCAGAGAGATTGCGGACAAGTTGAAAACTGCATTGCAGTCTGGGAGCTTCTATGTGGAAGCAGTGAGCCACATGTATGTCATCAACGCGTCCCGGCTTTTTTCTGTGGTATGGAAGGCAGGGCGTGGTCCTTTCCCCCAGCTGACTTGCTTTTGCGTGTTCATGGTCACAATGCATGAACCGAATCAAATAGCAAAAGGCGGGGACGCACTTGATTATTGTTTTCCCAAGCAATGCTATGGTGGTTGAACCTCTAGAGTAAACGGCTTCAGCGTTTTGGGTTGGGATGGGTTCGCTTCGAGTCTCTGGGGATTTGCGCTCGCACATTTTTCGGGGTGAAACTAAATCGCTGTTTGGGGTCTACGCTGGCACAATGAGCTTTTTGACAGTCGGAATTTCTGCAGTTTTCTGCGACTTCGTGAGCACAATACAGCCCCTGTCACTGCCCCAAAAACTTCACAGGTAGTTCGAACAAGGCGAATGTTTCTGTGTTTTTGTTTCAGTAGGGACATGCCTGTATGAAGACTGTGACGCGGCCGGTCATATAACTGTATTGCGCTTACCGAGTTCCAGCAACCGCTCATGTGTCATGCGTCATTCTCTGACTTTCTTGTTTCTCATCATGCTTCTCCTCACAATGAAATATTGCTTTCTAAGCGTAGCATAAAGGGATTTCTGAAAGCGACAGGGCCCTCTGCTGGTGCTTTCATGCATTTCTTGTATCGGTTTTCGCGTGCCGCTTGCCTGCGCTCCAACCGTAAATCGTCAATCCACGGCTTCTTGCGCTCGGAATAGAGTTTCGTGCGGCGCCGTAGCACCACTTTTGGCTGTCTCAGAAGGCACCTCCTCATCGTCCTCCTGCGTCTTGTCGTAGTCGTAGGAAGCTCGAGACCGTCAGCTTCCCTGTCCTAGAGCCTGGCAGAGAGCTGTCAGGGGCAAAGCAGTGGTCCAAGCGTGTAGCGTAACATGGAAGTAAGCATAGAGAGTAGAGGAATGGGAAGGTGCGAATCAAGAATGCAGGTCCAAGCGTCAGAAGCGACTCTGCCATGTTGCCTGGCTAGGTGGTTCGCAACCTGATTTCCCCGTGGACTGCTTCAAAGATCTCGGTCTCCAGCGGAGTTCCGGATGACCTCATTCACAGCTTAGGCTTGCGCTTTGTGACGAAAATCAGGTTGAAGAATTGCAAGCCGAGGAACATCAAGGAAAATCCCCCATGTCGTATCTGCTCAGGTGGGCCTACGTCTTCTGCGGCACGCCAGTTCCAGAAGCTCATCGCCAGGCAGGGCTGCCAGTGCTCTCCCTACTCAACACTCTATACCGGGGTTTTTCCCTCCTGAATCGGTTTTGGCTCAGGAGCCCGGAAGAGGCAGCGAGCCTAACAGCTGTACTGCGACCCCCGGGACAGGTGCCACACCCAGAGTTCTGCGGGAACATGCGAAAAACGAGACTCGTAGTGGGTCCCTTTTTGAGCGTCGCTTTTTTTTCAGGTGCCAGAGCCGACCTCTCCCACCTCGGCGATGGCCAACTGCTCGGTGGTCACGGAAGTTGGCTCCCAGTCGGGGCGGCTTGGAGACCAGTGAGCGCAAGCACCTGTAAGCACCTGCAAGTCACTTCAAGTCGTTGAGGCAGCAATTGCGTGCCAAGTTTCCTATCATGCAGCTCAGGTGTACGGGTGAGAAGCCAGTGAATGACATTGAGACGGACATGAGCTCCGTAAACTTAGAAGTGGAGGTTGAACCGGTATCTCCAGGCACACGTTGTGTCGGCGGCTACTTCTTGGAACGAAGCCAGCTTCCGCCTGGCTGGGAGGGCCACGACTTGGATGCATTGTTGGCCGAAATCCACGGCACATGCTCTCACATATCGCCGCTAACAAAACAGCAGGCACTCCGGCTGATGCTCGGCATGGGCTATGACCGAGTAGCGGCAGTCTCCAAATGGCGAGAGGTTTCTGCGTGGCGTGAGGCCAACAGCCTGCAGACGGTCAGAAAACAGCAGCTTGCGATGATGGGCGGCGTGGGGCCTGTCTCCTTTCCGCACGAGGAGGAGATTTACACGAAGCTGCTAAAGGTTTGCCCTTGCGCGTTGTTGGCTTCCAATGGTGCCCCGGTGTCGGTGTGGCATGCAAAAACTCTGAACTCCAGAGCAGCTGAGCTTTCCACGGATGAAATACGTTCGTGGAGCCACGCGGTCTTCGAGTACAAAGACTTGTGGATTACGCGTGAGAGCGATGAAAGAAGCCGGCTCATCGGATACATACAAGTCTATGACATGCAGGGTGTTGGCCTGAGGCATTTGACGTCCAGAGACATCGGCGAGAAGTTCAAAAGTTGCTTGCAGCCGGGTGCTTTCTACATGGAGGCCGTTTCACACATGTACGTTGTGAACGCTTCTGCCTTATTCTCAATGGCCTGGAAGGCTGGGCAATAAAGTCGGTTTTGTGGCTAGTTTGATGTTAGTTCCTTCGCGGTGGCACTATTTGGTTGAGGTGATCCGAAATCTGATCTCGCCGTGGACGGCCTCCAAGATCACAGTCTCCAACTCCATCCCAGATGCCACTTGAGTGCGAAGTGTATGAAGTGCGATTTAGGCCCAAGGATGCACAAGACATTGCTTCACCAAGTTTCTACCTCTTACGATGATGTATGGTGATGGTGTGTTGTCTACCATGAGATGCAATGGAACCAAGGAGTTGATACGTGATCTGGGCGGGCCTGAGTCGACTGCATTCCAAAAGTTGAAAGAGATCCTGGGCACCGAGAAAGCCGACCTTGGCCCCTCAGACAGACTTCACGACATTTCACGGCGCTTTCACCCACTTCACACGACTGCGTTAGTATGTGATGTATGTGTTGCTGCGCGTTTTGTGCTCTGAGGCAAGATCCCCGTGATGCGCCCGAGCGCTGCCTTGTGATTGTCTGGGCCCGAGACGTTACGTCGTGCAACAGCCGGCTTTCTGCATCTTTGACATGTTTTTGCATCCGTTGTTACATGAAGGGAGAAGGCTTCTGTGACGATGGATTCTCCCTTTGCTGATTTGCTACAGTGGCTCCTGCACTTCTCCCTCAGACACCGTACTGCTCTGCCGCCCACGTATCTTCTGTAGCGGCCTTTCTGGAAGCAAGGGCCAGCAAGGGAAGAATGTGCCAGTGCAAGACGGCGGTTGGGAGCCCGGATGCTGCGTCTCTTCTCTTCTCTGCCCAACCGTTCCTCGCGGTTCTGATCTCCGGGCTGGTTTGTGCAGCGCGCAAAACCCATGGGCATGACGGCATCGCTGCTGTCACTGGACTCACTCCTACATAACTCGCAGTCGCAGATATTGGGTGCCGGATGGTGCTCTACTTATGACCTCAGTTCCGATTTACCATGACTGCACGGCAAGTAATCAAGCTGCCATTTGTTCTAGAGGCGACTTGCCTGTCTGGGCGATAAGCTCAAAAAGAATGACGTACGTTGAAGAAGTTTCACTTCGAACCATCCCCTGCTGGCCTTGTGGTGCACTGCTGTCGGTGAGTGTGGACGAGTCTTGTGTGCTCGGCATCCGGTATCTGCATTTGCAGCAAGGCTGTAGCACGGCATGGTGCTGTCTGTGGGGCAGAGAATAGCGGGACTGTGAAACTTGGTGTTGGTTCTGTCCACCTGCAACATCGTGCGACTAAGGGGCAGATGTGGCGTGATGTTGCGGCGGCTAGCCGTCCTTCGATTCGCTGTGAAGCGCCATATTGACTTTGCATATACATATTGAGTGGATTTTCGTGCGCGTTGTTTGAGACATTTGAAGAGTTTGTGTGAGGCAGGGTGGGGCAAGATCTTTTCAGAAAGTCCGCAGCTAAAGTTGCGAGACTTGATTTGCCACATGTGACAGCGTAGCATGCTCTTGCGATTGCTTTCGTCGTGCGTTGCTGCAGCCAGAGCACATTGCGTTGATGCTTTCTGGTGCGGCTGTGATGCGCCCGTCGTGCGACATATTTTTTACGGTTCACTGCTGCGCAGCTGGAGCTGAGCACAAAGGCAAAAGTCCTGCCGTAATTCGTCCTGCAGTCGCTGCACAAGTGGCGCCCAGAGCCTTTTGGCACACCGGCACACCTGCTTTGGGTGTATGATTTGTGTTTTCTTCTTGGCCTGTCGGGTGTGGCGTGACCGGTTTCTGTAGTTAGTTCGTTTCTTGCTTGACTCCGCGTGGGTCTATATTTTGCTTCGGGCATGGCCTGAAATACCTAGCCTTAGACTCCAGGTTATTGGGCTCGAGGCAGCAGCCCCTTTAGGGCTTGTGCTGCCTATTCTGCGGTCATGTCAACTTGTCAACCTGACATACGGTATCTTCCTCTCCACACCACTATATATCTTCACATATCTTCAGAGTATGGCCGCCGTCTGCCCCATCCCTGCAGCATAGATTTCTTCTAACGTGGGGACGCCAGACTGCCTGATGTCAGCTGAGCACAGACTTCTCGTAGCAAGCAGGAAGCATGGGAGAAAGAGATTCGTTCTGGCAGGACAAGGGACACATATTCTCATGAGCTTGGCACATGGCAAAGGACATAGCTGATCGTTCCACGTCAGCGTTTGTCACATATGCGGAAAGACAGTTTTCACGAGATGGTAAATCCAGAAATGGTGACTCCTGCAGTGCGCATGGCAAGCAGTTGGAAAGTTGCCCGAGCAGCAGCGACACTGTAGCCAACTCCAAACAGAGAGACCATTGCGCGATGTTTGTGAACTTGCTGCAGATGCAGTCATGAGCCCCAGCAAGTTGGCTTCTGCGCTGTCTGCACTCCTTCTCGTTGCTGCAGAGGCGTGGCGCCTGCAGGAGTTAGGCGCTCATTGATTTTGCAGCAGAACTCATGCGTGTGATCAGGTCGGACACGCACTCCTGAACCATTGCGATGCGACGCAACGCTGCAGATTTGCAAATTGGAGCAGTCTTGCATAGCCTGCAAGATTCGGTGCTGGGTGCCCGCTAGAAATTGAGTTCGGGGGAGTGGAAGGAAAAGCTAGTGGCTTAAGATCGGGTTCAACCGCAAGGTCTACTCACAAGGCTTGCTGAAACCGACAGCTTGAAATCTATTTCAACCGCAGGCTGCTGCTTACATAGGTCGCAAAAAGCTCTAAGTAGACACATGCCTGTGTTGATTGTGGGGTTGAAATCGACTTGATAACGTCAATTCTTGTAGCAGTGTCCGAACAAGTTTCAAACTGATCTGAAACCTGGCCAGAGATAGACAGGGACAAGCAAGAGCAGGTAGCCCCGTTTCCAAGCCGAAGTCAGGAAATCAACACCGGATGCCTAGCAGCTCTCAGGCTGACAGAAACATACCATTAGTGCACAAGCCCAGATGGCAAAAAGCAAGGCTATGGCGTGGAGGCCTTCAACTGCACGGGCCACGTGACAGATGAAGAAAACGCCAAGTTCAGGATGAGCTTCTCAAACACGAGTTACTGGGTCCAACATTTCCAACTGTACACGACTCTGGCTGCAAAGGTGCAGCATCCTCCCGGGTGGAACACCAGCACCTGCCTGGCTGACGTCGCTGTAGAATCAGCCATACAATACATGACGGACCTTGTCCAGCTCGACCATGACAGCTTCACATCAGGCGCTCACATCAACTGCTCGTCAATTTTTATGGCCACGAGGCTCTTTTGCATCAGGGGCGAAGGTCCGGTGAGCACGCGCCTTTCCATGGCAGTGCAGGCCAACGCGGACGCAGAGTTGTCGATCGGAGTTGGAGCAAAGGAGGGTGCCGATGAGCACTCCCGGAACCTTTCAATGACTGTGGGTGGAATTGGTGGCCGCAGCGCCTTTCACTTGTTTACGGTCCCAGAAGATGATAACCTTGATGTGTGGCGTGTGAGTTTCAATGTGCCTGAGGAGTTCCGCAACAACAACATATATCATGCCTATATCATGCATGAGTCCTCCCCGTGCATTTCCGAAGTGCTTCGGAATGGTGGCTGTTTCAACGCGCAGAGAGTCTGGTCTTGCACTCGATCGGTTCCCGTGTCGTTCAGGCGACCAACCGCTTTTGGTAATTTGAAGATTGCTATGAGCCTGAGCTTCTCCCAGTCCGCAAGGATGACGATCAGCCGAGGCGGGAGTGTTTTTTTGGTTAAGGGTCCGCCTCCGGTGGCAGACTGGATTCCTGTCTTGGGTGCAAGGGTTCAGGACTGACTTAACAACAAAGGGTTCAAAAGCACAAGATACGCATGACAGTGGCTTGATGCTCTCGTGTTTCGGGATGGCGAAGGCTCCTTTCCATCACTTCGATCCGGCCAGTGGGTCCTCTTCGTGCTCTGCAACCTGAAAAAGCCGCATGAAATTTGCCCGGAGGGTCGGATTGACGTGAAGCTTTCTCCAGGATACAATCAACGTGCCAAACTCTGGGTAGGTGCAGCCATCATGGTTTTTGGGCCAGCCTTGGTCTTATTCGCAGTCAATGCGATGTACTTTCTGGCATACAAGCTTTTGTACACAATCTTCACTGAAAACGGTCAGACTCAACGTCGGCTGTGGCCAATCTTCATGTCGCTACCTGGCCGCAAGCACGTGGCGATGCTCCGTGAGAAGGTGAACCTGATATTTCGGCCGATACCCTTTTTTCCGGGACTCTTAGCGCTAATGATTGGGGTGTTCTTGGCGACCGCTGCCCAGTTTGTCATAACGCATTATGGCTTGATGGTGCGGACTGGTAGTCGAGACATTTGCTTCTACAATGAGAAGTGCTTCTCTCCGGGTGTTGTGTGGGATCTCCCATGGAACAACTTCTTGTCCAACCTTGCCTATTTCGTGGCTGGGGCTCATACTGCGATGCAGACCTTCTGGGCGGAGGTCCGCTGTCGCAACTTCTTGCGCCGGACCATGTCAGAGATGTTCAAGCACGTGAATCCTAACCCTGAGGGGGGCTTGACCAAGCAGCAATGGATAGCGGCCTTCGATCACGTCGATCTGAATGGAAGCGGAACCGTCTCGAGACAGGAGTGGTACACGCGCCACAATCATGCCCTAGCTTTTGATTTCATCGACACAGACCAGGATGGCCGGCTCTCTCGCGAGGAATGGTCCGATGCTTTTGACCGGATGGATACCGATCGATCGGGCATCTTGACCGAGGCCGATTTTCAAAAAGCATCCTGCGGGATTGACCTTCGTGCCTTCTATGCAGTGGCCATTACTTTCATTGCCGAGGGAATTGGGAGCATGTGCTACCATCTCTGCCCGTCTGTTGAAACCTTTCAGTTCGACACATGCTTCATGATCCCGATCGCAAACCTTCTGACGATTGCACTGGCTGATTGGAGCGGGACAGATTTCCTTGACACGATCTCCGCCTTGAGGTACTTTGTCTACATCCTGATGCTCGACTGCACAGTTGAGCTGAGAGCCACAAGTCATCCATTGTTTGGTCGGGGACTTCCAAACTGTAGCATATTGTAGCTAGGAGGTTGCTGAGCTCGTTGGAGATGCATTTCCATAAGGACACCTGTTTGGATCATCAACTTTGTTGGCACTTGGTACGACATAGATGTCTTTGATTGCGAGTGGCTCTACTGGGTATACACGATTCTGGTGGTGGCAACGTGGCTTCAAGGATGTCCAGTCAGATGGTACTGGAGAGCATGTTGTTGTTCGGTTTTTGTTTTTCCCCAACCTCGGTGTGGGTTTGTTAGATTTTGAGTCAACCACGCTCCTCCCTTCCTCGCCTCCTCGCCTCCTCGCCTCCTCGCCTCCTCGCCTCCTCGCCTCCTCGCCTCCTCGCCTCCTCGCCTCCTCGCCTCCTCGCCTCCTCGCCTCCTCGCCTCCTCGCCAAGTGTGTTGCAAGCTTGGTAAAACCCATCATTCCAGCATCGTGTTGCAAATGAGGGGGGGGAGGGTGGCGCTCCCCCAACCCCTCGCTTTTGTCGAAGCGGTGAAAGCTTGCTTCAAAGCATTTCATGCCATCAGTACACATTCCCTGAAACCATAGGAATCCTCACCGAGCCATTCAAACCAAGAAAACCTAGCTCCTGTTCTTCAGTGGTGCAAGGTTGCTTCGAAGTATTTCGCGCCATCAGTAGGCGTTCCCTGAAGACCTGAAGCGAACCCAAACCCATCATGTGAGCAGTCTGTAAACGGGGGCAGACGGGAGTGGAAGAGTCCCAATTAGTGGAGAGCTTGAGGCACTAGAGATTGAAGATAGTGGCCTAGAAAGACTGCTGGAATTGATCCAACACAGTGAGACAGAGCAAGAGTTGAGGTTATCGGAACCACTGTTGTGAAGGAAGTAGAGGTTTTCCTACTCAGATATTGAGAAATTCCAGGTCCTCCGATGAGAGGTTTCCTTTGACATCGCAGGTGATGGACAGGTTTTCCGATTGAAGCATGGACAAATTTGAGATGATCCATGAAGATATAGAGAACTTAAAGGTTTTCCTCTTAAGTCCAAAGCAATAACCCCCCCCCCCCCCCCCCCCACCACAAGAAGGTTACCAACAAACTGCACCCGGTGGTAGTTAGAGCTAGGTGAAATTCAGTCCAGTAGCCACTGCGAACTTTGGGGTTGCCATCGGCTTTGCCATGCATGCACATTGGAGTGTTGGTTGTTGTCAGTAATTTTATTTCTTTGTGCTTTGTGGGACTTCAATCTCATGACCAGTCATTTCCCTGGTTGCCCTCGGGTTCTTTGAGTTGTTCTTTTCCGTTTCTTCTCCAGCGGTTGCCGTGGGATTCGACATGGCTCGACCCTGCTGTCGATGTTAAGCTGCAAGGGGACATGTTTGAAGGCCCCGTCTCGCATCACCCAGGAACGTGCAGGCACCAAAGCCCGAAGCCGACGTGCACCGTTTCATTGTTCGCATTGTTTTCAGAAATTTCTGTGATCTCACGAACCTCGCCAGAAGAGAACGCTTGCAGGCATGGACACTGGCTGCCGTGACTGGACTGAAGCGTGTCTTCGCCACACCGAAGATCGGAAAGCGCGGCCTTTGGCTGATGCGAGCTCTGCAGGCCCTCGTCGTTCTCGTGGTGCTGCATCTTGACTTGTATCAACTGCAGACAGGGGTGTCAGGGACGAATGGTGCACCTAAGAAGCAAGGCCGAGCCACAACTAGCGGCTGCTTGTGTGAACTTGCTGCAGTTTCTAGTGGGATAGCGTCGCACGCTGAGACACTGAGGCTGGCATTCTCAGTACCGAGCGCCGCTTTGCGATGTTGAGCTTTGAGTCTAAAGCGCATTCTCCTAGCTTTCACACGTAAGCCATTTGCAGGCAAGCTCAGCGAGTTCGTAGGATCTTGCATGCTGCTTGCTTCGTTTCGCAGGGGCCCTAGCTGGTGCTTCGGCAAGTACCAAGGTACGCAAAGGCCTTGGAGGCACAGCGAACACCTTCCTGTTGCTCTCCATCGTTGTGATGATTGTTGTTGTTTGCCGGCAGATCTACATGCAGGACAGACGGGATTCGGCATACTGCCCAGCTGAATGATGCTGAATGGTTGTGTTCTGGGCGTCATGCTGCTCATTCCAGATTGGACAGGACCTGCGGTACATCACTTGGGAGGACGGGTGAAGCCGGAAGAAGAGCTGCTAGTAATACCGTATAAGCCACCTAAAGGCCACCTCCCTGTGCGCGTGCTCAGCATGAGTTCTGGACAGAATTGCCGTGGTTAGTCTGGTCTGCCCGTTTACGTCCTTTGTGTTTTCTAGCGCCACTAGTTTGATGCGCAGGCTCCACACTGTGCAGAATCTGACAGGACTTTACGCAATCTAGTTAGAGTTAGAGGTTCCTTTCTCGCAGCACGAAAACCCAATGGCCAGACAAGAGTCGGAACCGAGTTGGCCTTGAAGGTGTCAGCGGTTGGCGGCCGCATCATCAAGTACAGCTACATGGCAGTTATGGTTTTCGTTGCCACTTTGTCCATTCACTGCTTCAACGAGAAGGCATCGATCCCTTGTTTCATCTGCCCAGTGATTCAATATGATTCAATATGATTCAATATGATTCAATATGATTCAATATGATTCAATATGATTCAATATGATTCAATACAGAAGGCATATTCTTCTGGTAGTTTGTTTTGGTGCCGAGCCTTGTCTTGGATGCTTTTTCCTGCCAAATTGAAAATTGGAAGCCCTTTAAGCAAACGAACAAAGGGAACACAAAGGAAACAATGGCAAAGGAAAGGAAGGAAGGGAAGGCAAGGAATGAGAGGAATGAGCGGAAGGAGAGGAAGGAGAGGAAGGAGAGGAAGGAGAGGAAGGAGAGGAAGGAGAGGAAGGAGAGGAAGGAGAGGAAGGAGAGGAAGGAGAGGAAGGAGAGGAAGGAGAGGAAGGAGAGGAAGGAGAGGAAGGAGAGGAAGGAGAGGAAGGAGAGGAAGGAGGGAAAGGAGAGGCGGAAGGAGAGGAAGGAGAGGAAGGGAGAGGAGGAGAGAGGAGGAAGAGAGGAGGAGGAGGAGAGGAGAGAGGAAAGGAGAGGAATGAGGGGAGGAAGGAGAGAGGAAGGAAAGGAAGGAGAGGAAGGGGAGAGGAAGGAGAGGAAGGAGAGGAAGGAGAGGAAGGAGAGGAAGGAGAGGAAGGAGAGGAAGGAGAGGAAGGAGAGGAAGGAGAGGAAGGAGAGGAAGGAGAGGAAGGAGAGGAAGGAGAGGAAGGAGAGGAAGGAGAGGAAGGAGAGGAAGGAGAGGATGAGATGGACGGAAAGGACAGGAATAAAGGGAAGCAAGAGAAAAAAGGAGGCAAAGGATGCGAATGAAGGGAAGGAGGGGAAGGAGGGCAAGGAGGGGAAGGCGGGCAAGGCGGGGAAGGACGGGAAGGACGGGAAGGACGGGAAGGAGGCGAAGGAGGGCAAGGAGGGGAACGAGGGGAAGGAGGGCAAGGAGGGGAAGGAGGGGAGGGAGGGGAGGGAGGGGAAGGGAGGGAAGGGAGGGAGGGAGAGGAAGAAGGCCTCTCGTGGCATGGAATGAAACCTCCACTCTGCTAAGTCCTATGCACGCGTGCGTATGCGATGATTTGTTTGAAGCATTCGCTCATGGAGCTGTGAGGACATGGAGGCTTTCATCCTGGGAAAACCAAGAGAAAACCAGGACATGCCAGAGGAACCGAGAGGTACTGCATGTCGTCGGAAACCCAGAAAAAACAGAGGCGCTCCTATGAAAATGCTGAGAAAAGAGAGGGGTTCCTTTGAATTTGTAAAGGAAGCCGGGGTTTTTGTGTGACAAATGTCAAGGGAATGTGGGTTTTGTTTTGACTACGCCCTGCAGCTCTTTCAGGAAATAGAGACTTCAGAATCTAATGCGCAACGGGACAGCCATAGCAGATGTCGGACCAACAGCTCCATCGATGCAGTATGTTTGCCTCTGTACTCAGCAGTCTTACAGAAGCTCAAATTTGCTGAGCGCAGCACTCATGGTAGCTTGGTGCAAATCCATCTTTGTGGCGTGGGGGAGGTCGCCATCGTGACCCCAGATGCGACACCAGCGGAGAGCCATGATATCAACCAAGATTGTTTTTACAACATTTTTGACTTGTGTCTTGGATGCAAATTGCAGCAATGACCTCTCTAGCATTCTGAGTCTGCCGAGATACATCGCATCCAGTCTGCATATCAGGCATGATTATTGGCATTTCCTGTCTGCCATTGCCTTGGCTCTTTTTGCCATGCTGCTCTTGGACATTCGCGTGAACTCGTGGGCGCGGAAGTCTGGAATCCAGATTCTCTTTGAGCAGCATCTTGGGCTAGCATGTGGTGAGCATGCCGAGGTCGACCAGACCCGGTGTCGCTGTCGAAGAGCTAGGTATATAAGCTACACAAAGATGTTTCAGCTCGAGGCTGCTAGATGCATGGGGTATCATGGAGTGCCACTGCAACAGCTCATGGCGGTCATCAAGCACGAGCCAAGCACAGCCAAGCTTGGATGCCTTTCTAGTTTTTTTGCTTGTGAAGGTGTCTCCCCTAGTGAGCTGATGTTCGGAGCTCTCCAGGCCTGTCGACTACTCGTCGGGCACGGATTCGGACAAGGGTTCGGACCAGGCTTCGGACCAGGATTCTTCTGAGGAGAACGAACGCTGCCTGAGCGAAGGCGATCTTGAGGGCGCTCGGATCGACGACAGAATGTGTAGACTCTAGGAGGGGCCGTTGCGGACTTCCACATGTTTCACTCTAAGGGGCGCTTGGAAATATTAAGACCCTTCTTTTTGCTTCATAATTCGTGCCTTCGAATCAGCTGATTTTGATTGGTTCATGTAGCAAGGGTGCCATTTTGCTCTAATTCAATTCTCAAGGCATTCGTTGCCTGGCCAGCAGCCCGAAGTCTGCTGTACAGCAAAGGCGCTGAACGAATGGCACTCTGGGCTCGACTCGTGTTGCCAAAGCGCGCGCGCCAGCGCACGCGCGCGCGCGCGCGGGTGTGTGTGTGTGTGTGTGTGTGTGTGTGTGTGTGTGTGTGCGTTTGTGCCTGTGTGCTTGTGTGTCTGTGTGTCTGTGTGTCTGTGTGTCTGTGTGTCTGTGTGTCTGTGTGTCTGTGTGTCTGTGTGTCTGTGTGTCTGTGTGTCTGTGTGTGTGTATGTGTCTGTGTGTGTCTGTGTGTGTCTGTGTGTCTCTGTGTGTGTGTGTGTGTGTGTCTGTGTGTCTGTGTGTCTGTGTGTCTGTGTGTCTGTGTGTCTGTGTGTCTGTGTGTCTGTGTGTCAGACACACTTGTGTGTGTCTGTGTGTGTCTGCCTGTCTGCCTGTCTGCCTGTCTGTGTGTCTTTCTGTCCGTCTTTCTGTGTGGGTGGGTGGGTCACAGTGGCAACACGGCAATATGCCATATTCAACATGTTCAAGAATGCTCATGCATATGGGGTCACGGGACCCAAAGCGGGGACCGTAGATGGTGGCAGCCTTTTCGGGTGGCCCCAGCGGCTCAAGCTTAAGGCTTGGAGTTGCTTCCCCTCGCGTTTTCGGAGAGCACCTTTGGATGCAACGCAGCGGGGGGGGCAGGCTAAGTCTGAGGGTTACCAGAAGTTCTGCCTGCGAGCCTCGCGAGGTCTGTGGTAGTTACCTGGTAGTTAGTTCGCTCAAGAAGTGCTGCGACGTTCTCGCGCTGCATCTGAGGCGTGATGCTCGTCATGTGACAATTCAGAATCCGACCCTCGGAGGGCGGACGGTGGATGCAAGCACTCCTTTGCCTTCGGCCTTGGTTTTCGATTCCCCTACTTGCCTTGCTTGCCCACGCACAGGACGCGAATCAATCGAACCAAACAACCTCTGTTGTGCCATATGTTGAATCGAGGGTTGAAGCAATCCCAACAACAGTCCAAGCCTGCGGAGAGCTTGTCTTCGACGGGGCGAAGTCCTTTGACTCCAGGGGAGAGTCGCTGCAATTCTTCTGGGGCTTTGGGCCTGGGACGCCAAGCTGGTTTCGCACCCCTCGGCTGTCCACGCTACTGGAAGAGGCCACCGCCACCAGCGCAGCCTCCGTGGTCGTGAGCCCCTCAGTTCTATCCGAAGCAGGTGCTCGTCTGGGCGAGCGTCTCAGGGAAGGAGAGGTGCGATTGGAGGTGAGGCTGATTGTTCGCAACACATTGGGGAACAGCACGGAAGCAGTGGTTTCTGCGGGTGTGGTGGGATCAACCGCGCAAGCTGAGCCAGTCATCTTTCCTGTGGGAAGCAGCGATGTTCAGCTCAGACACAGTGATCGCCTGGTTCTGTCGGTAGTTACATCGGAGGCTCCGTTTGCACTCTCATGCGCCTTACGTGATCCAGGAAAAAGTGCAGGCCGGACCAATGTGACTTGGGAGTATCGAGGCTTGCAATCATTTGAAGGGTTTCGGGCTCTGGAGAGCCTTGGGAGCTCGAACCCTCTGATGCGCGATCTGTCGGAGGACCCCAATGCCGTGGAGTTGGCGCCCTATGCCTTCCAGCCTGGCAGCTTCCATCTTCTTCGGGCAGTTGCTGCTTTTGATACGCGTCCAACCCTGGCTCCAAGAGCGAACGTGGTATTCAGAGTTTCAGTTGAGCCGCTGCCGCCGCTGGAAGTGAACATCGTCGGCCCCCGAATAGCTTCCCTGTGCGGCTTTGAACTCGACGCCTCGCAGGTGTGGGACCCGACCCTGCCTGGCAGCAACCTTTCAGACTTCCTCTTTGAATGGAGGTGCTCGTCCATCGTGCAAGTGGGCGAGCTTGACATCTGCGAAAACCTGCCTCACTTCGGGCAAGCAGCACAAAGGATGGATGGCTCGGGCGCTGCTGGCCCGAAGCTTCTTGTGGGGCCTGGCCTGCTCCTACCCGGCATACACCGCTTCTCGGTGCTCGTTCGCCGCAAGGTGGGCGGCGGACCTTCAGCCATTGCGAGGAACCCCGTGCAGGTACAAAATGCATCCTTTGCCACGTTGAGTCTGAACTTCCCAAGCTACGGCCACACTGGCAAGCTAAATCTTTCGGATGGAGTTCCGGTGGTTAGTGCTGTCGTGGATGCAAGCGGCCAGGCAGGCCCCGAATGCTTGGTGCCAGAGGTCCATTGGCAGTGGGTGCTTGTGGAAGATCGTCTCCTGCCCAGATTGGATCGGATTCTTCCAACAACGGCTGAAGCCGTGGGCAATACGCTGCAGCTACAGTCTGGAGAGGGTGAAGGTGGTCCTTTACTTCCAGGGATTCCGTATTACCACGTTCTACTGCAATCTGCGAACCAGAGTGTTTTGGCTGATGCAATTGCAAGCGTCCTTGAGCGGCCGCCGCTGGAGAATGTTTTGCGAAACGGTGTGGTGGCCGCGGTCATGTCCCCAAAGTTTGTGGCAGAAGAACCCCCTTCCGGTGGCTCTATCACAGCTAGCGGCCAAGCGGACGTAGACCTTTCTCGACTGCCCGTGATCTGTCCTGAACTTACAACCCGTGAGGTCCAGCCGTCGTATCATGGTTTCTCCCTTGGGCCGCTGCCCCATTGGTCCAGTAGAAGTTAGCCATTCCACTGGCCTTGAGAGGGGCAGTGTTCCTCGACCTTCTGAGGACAACCTTTACCGTTGAGACCGGCATGTGGTGTCCGACCCATTCCACAAAACATGCACAAATCATTCAATGTTGTTGGTGGAATGCGTCCTCTTTCGTTTCCTGAGGATGGATGAGCGGCCATCAGAGCTTGAGTACGAGTTTCTTGCCTTCCCTTTCCAGGACATGCAGCAGCGCATACGTCCCGGCATCGATTGCGTTGCATTGCGCCAGGAGCTGCAGCAAGGTTCCCGGGGTGGCATTAGCGTTCTGCCACGCCTTACGCACCCTCGCGGCCAATCTGACTTTATCTTGGAGTTTGATAGTCACTACTGTCGCTACTTGCCACGGAGCGACATGTTATGTACTGTTTGGCTTCTTTGCCTTCTTCTCCTGCGGCCCAGTCTAAGCCTGTACATCAAAAAATGTTGGCTGCTGATTAGTGTATCCCCCCCCCCTCCCCTCCCCCCCTTGAGTGTCTACAGAGGACTTGCAAGGAATCTTAGCTTTAGGTCCAGCCTGAAGACTGGAGATTTGAACTCCGGGTTGAGGGCTTCACTTAGACTCAGCTCTCTCCCAGGAGGGATTGGCCTCAGGCTCTCAAGTTGTCAGTGTTTCAGCTTTGTTCACGCGCAGCTGAGAAGATCTCAGAAGTTCAAAAGAACTCATACACTACACTTTCTAGACGAAGCGAAAGCCTTAACATACTCCCGGGGGATCGTGGCAGTGTGATCCTGCTCACTACTTTGTAGCATGGCAAGGCGTGAATTATTGAATATATCCGGTCCGAATATACTTCCCGTGTGGGATACAGAGAATACAGCAGTAGTTAGGCATTCTGGTGCAGCCTGTTCATTCGAAGGTGCTGATATGGACCCTCCGCAAGCTCTGCAGATCGACTGGGACCGGCGTAGAAGATGCGGTTTCCTTGCAGAAAGCAGAGAACCTTGCTGCTGGATATCGACACGACGGGCTTGCAGTCACAGAAGTGTTCAAGACGATTCTCCACTGGCATTCGGTAGCCTGACCAGGAGGATTCCAACAGCGCTCGGTATTGGAAGGAGTTGGGGGGGCGCTGTCCTGAGACTTTCTGCCTTTCTGAAATACTTCTCATGCTGGCCAACTGCGCTGTTGATCAGTAGCTTAATGTGGCTTAGTCTTCTTTGACGATGTGCCAGACCCCCTAGATCTCCTAAACAGCCGCAAGCTCAAAAACACAAAGAGACTGCGACCTTTCAACGCGCCGGTCCGCGGCTTCAGCAAAGAGTCGATAGCGCTAACCGCATGCCTCCTATTTCTACTGTGGCATGCAAGTTACCTTATGATGGTTCGCGCCTTTCGCTTTCAGCTGATGCATGCGCAAGACACCATCTGTGGAAGATGCCATCGTTCTACATACTGGATCCAGCATTTTTTGCGGGTACTTTAATTCGCTCTGTAACAGATCCAATAGAGGGAGTGCGGGATCCAACGTACGCGGCATTTCATGTCAGGCCTTTCCTCCCTATAACAAACACAGGTTCGCCCCATCATCGCCTTGGGGCCTCCTAGAATGGGTTGCTCTCCGAGAAGTCTCCTGAGCCCCCACAAGTTTCGAATGAGTTCACGCTCAGAATTGGGCCATGTCCGTACTCTTGTCAAGTTTTGCCCAGCAAATTTGAGGCAATTGCTGAGGCACCAGCCTCAGCTTGAAACTGGCGCCTAGAGCAGCGTCGAGTTCGTGGCCTAGTCCGTGACCTCGGTTAGCCGCAGGTCATGGGGTCGCTTGCCGCAGGTGGGCCTGGATCCTCAACCAACAAGAATCCCGGAAGTTGGGCTACGCCTTGGCTTCCCTGAGCAGGCACTTGTGCACCTGCCAGCAGGACAATACCAGCTGGTCGGAAGCCCAAGGAAAAACCTTTCAGTCCATAGTCCCTGGTAGTCCATGGGCTGCCAAAGCATGCTTAGGTAGTGCGAGCGCGGGATGACGAGGGCGCAGTGGCAGCCTTTATGCATTCCCGCGGACCTGACTTGATCAATGTGATTACGTGTAGGCTTCCAGCTGATTGCCGAGGTTGCCGTGACCATGGCAACGCAGCCCCTCATGGTTCAGGCCGAGCAAAACTTCACTGTTCCCTATGTGGAAGCGGCAGCCCCAGAAATCTACGGCGGAATTCGTGCAATGGTGGGTAGCGCGCAGCTGACCGACGGCTCCAAATCGACCTGGTCTCGCGACAGAACTAGGAGAGTGTCGCGGCAACGTGTATCGAATGCCTACACCTATATTATATATTGTATTTTTCTACATATATACAATTATATATGTATATACTTATATATATATATACATATATATATATAGACAGAGTCTTGTTTTTTTGCAAAATAGTACCTTCGTTCTCACTGGAACACCGCCATGCCTTCGGCCTATGGCCTTCGGGCGGCAGGGATCCCGGAGCCAAGTTGCATCTGCAGCAGATCAGCGGATCATGTCTCCACAGAGTCGCATCCCAAAGGAAGCTTCAATTTCAATGGCATGAAGATTGCTGGACATTGCGTCTTAGGTGTCAAAGCCAGGCCGGCCTGGGCTTGCTGATGCCGCTGCAAGCTTGATTGATTGATGGGCAGGTTTGTTTGAGATGAGGGTCTTTTGAATCGTTGCCGTCTTTGCCGTGTAGCTTCTCAAAGCAGATAGAAGCTTCTGTAATGCATGTGCCAAAGAGGGCAGAGAGGGTTTTTCAGGCCAGGACCAACGCTGTCTTTACGACGCCAACTGCACCACATAAGAGTGCCTGTGCCATGGCGCAGCAATGTCGACTTTCCGGTGGTGTGCTACTCCTGGCGGCCGTGTTGCCCCTTGCACCGATTGTGCCGTCGAATTTTCTCGTTGCATCGGTTTGCTGCAAAGGTGTTTCAGCTGCCGCTTCAGCACCACATTCCTGGGAAGCCCATCTGCGCACAGAGCACTTGCAGGCTGAATGACCGGATGACACACACACAACTCCCTGTGTCCGGGAACCGTTCTGCCACAGGTAGAGCCAATCTGGTGCCTCGACTTAGTGACGCTGTGCGGCTAACTTGCAGTGTGCAAGAAAGTGCGATGCTTGCATGCGAATCAGTATCTCAGGCTGCCCGGCGCCACATCCCGCCAAGACAGGTATGTCTATATGCGACCAAAGCAGAACAGGCATTCGAAGACTTCAAGGAGATGAAGATGCTTAGCTTGAAGACCCCTTCGTGCTTCTGTTTCACTGTTTGTTATCCTTTCCCTGTCCACTGAGGAAGGACTATGATGCCATGCTCAAGAGCCCGCATCCTCGCAACGCCAAGCGTGTGGGCAACCAGGTGTGGTTCGATGTGTCTCTTACTCTTCCCTTGGGCCTGGCTTTAGATACGAAGCCAGGCTGAAACATTCAGAAAGGCCGAGATTGATATGGTAGACCCCCAAATAGTAGGATCCTTTAAAGAGAGGGACCCCAAGAAGGTACCCCTGATTTCGGAAACCCCCATATCGTAGGCCTTGTAGGCTTCTGCTGAGTTTCCCCCCTTTTTGCCGGGCCGAGGAGCTGGGACAAGGAGGCGGTCGGAGTCAGTCAAATCACTGAGGGTGGCAGTGCTTTCGAGCACAACGAGCGGATCTTGGGCAAGGACTTTCGGGGACGACTACTACAGTGACTACAGATTCCTCATGTTTGTTGGTGTTAGGATCCTGACGAGCAGAAGATGTGGATTCAGCCTGGCGACAGGCCAGGCGACCTGGTGAGCGCCAGAGAATACGCGGGGGAGAATACGGAAGGGCTGTTTGGGGCCACTAGTAGCGCACTAGACCCATGACAGCTGAGCGATCTCACATGATCTCACGATGGTTGCTACTGTTCCAGGCTGTTGATGTTGAATGGGCAGAAGGTCAAGACCCAGGAGGATGTGGCGGCGCGGCTGAGAGATGACATGAAAGCTTTTGCCAGAAGCGAAGGGGCGAAACACGGCGAAGTGCACTGCATCTGGGTGTTAAAACGACCTGTCGCCATGAGGTCGGCATCGTCTCCAAGCTCCAGCAGGGAGACAAGGCCGAGATGACGCGGTGTATGCTAAGCTTGCAGAGTACAAAGTCGCACGGGCATGAGTGGATACTCCTCATGACACTTAAGAAAGTATCATATGCTTTTACAATCTTTTACAGTGAGATGCCCTCGAGACTGAAGGGTTTCGCTCTCAGGTCATCCTTAAGCTCGCGCGCCAAGCTCGTGGACCCATTCAGGCTCAGTGGTTGAAAGCGGTCCTTCAGTGGGCCAAAAAAGGGTACACTACGGCTTAAGGCTTGGACCTCTTTGTTCGGTGCCTTTCCTTCGCAGTTCGCAGGTGATTTTCCCCGAGCCCGCTGAGCCTGTCGTCGTGCGTCCCAGCGCGAAGCTTCAAGACGCAGCGAGGGCGGCAGGTTCATGCAATCGCTTGCACTTGAGAGAGCGAGAGAGAGAGAGAGAGAGAGTGTGTTCTGAAGCCAAGTAGAGAACATAGCATGCCTTGAGAGGTCACAATGTAATCTATCGTTGTGAAGACGGCCTTTGTGGAAGCTGCTGGCATGTCAGCGAGAAAACTGGAGACATCTACCAGCTGTGCCTGGACGGCATCTTATCTGAGGCTTCGCAGGCCCACTGACCGAGGCGGTTTTGTGTATCGAGGTGCATCGAGTCGGTCACGGCTTCCGAGCTGCCTAGCAAGGACTGCAGCGAGCTCTCGCGACCTGCCTTCAGGCGCCTTTTGTGTCTGGCGCTTTGGCAATTGCCAGGCACAAGCAGGATTCAGCGAGCAAATCGGCGGAGTTGTTCAGGCCAGACGAGCAGAATTCCAGTTGTTGCTGCTGGCGGCACAGAGAAATGCCATCCCTCTTGCGAGTTTCCATGCGTCCGGTTGCGAAGGCCTTGTCCGGCAACAATGAGGTAACCCAGCAAAATTATGAGCCGGTTCTCGAACCAAGTCGAACGGTTGTGTCAGCGCAAGAGCAAGAAGGGAGCCTTGCTGTATGTTGCATCGCATGTGTCATGTGACACATGTGGCATCGCCAAGCAACTAAGTGGGAACCGGGTACATCTTGGGACAACACGGAGCCGCTGCGTCTACGTCCCTGCCCGGAGATTTACGAGCTACTTGAATGCATGCACGCACTGAACATGCTTTCCTTCTTTCTGAGAGCTGTGCGTGAATTTCTGAATGTGCTGTGAGGAAGTTCATGAACCCACACATGGGGAAGTGGCAATATAGTGCTGGTAAGTACTCGGCCCGCTGCTCAGGGCCTTTCACATGGCTTCCGTACTCTAGTGTCTCCTAGTGGATGCCATGGCGGCGTCTGCGGAGGTGACCCGTGATGATGATGATAACCTCATCTATGCAACTTGCCCAGCACGTGGTATGTGGGTGCCGGCACTGCCGACTTCTAGGACTAGCCTGAGGTCGAGAACAACATTTCAGGCGTGCTGCTGCGGTGTGCAATCTGCGGTGTGCAATCTGCGTCGTGCATCTGCGGTGCGCATCTGCGGAGTCTAGCGTTGCTAATTGGCATTGTCTAAAGAAATCTGATTGGGACAGGCCTTCTTGTCGAGGAGGATGACGATGATCCCATGAACCGCTGGTTGACTGCGGACCTTGGTGAGAATGGCCAGATCAGGATCAGGCTGAGCAAATCTTTAGGCAGGGCCGGAGATGTCGAAATGCTTGTCGAGATTGTGCTCTGTTGTTGTGAAGCTTGTGAATCTCCATGGCGTACTGCAAAAAATTGCCAGTAGCTGGCACACCCGAGACTGACCGCAAGGCATCTCTATCGACATGGAGTCGCAGTATAAGCCAGCAGGCAGCGATGAATGGGGAGAAATTCGCTATTCGGATGCACATCGGATGGACAGCCTCACCGATATCCCTATTGGTGTAGAAACTACTCGGCTCAAGCTCCAAGGAACGGCGTTCAAGTACTGAGGGTGCCCGCAGACCTGAGCCTTCAATTTGTCTCAATCGGCCTCGAACAGCCAATTTTCCTTAGATTTCTTACATGGTCAATGCAGTTGCTGGAGTCCAAGCCGTCATGGAGTGCGGAAATGTGCAGAATAGGGCAAAGTCAATGCTGTAGTTTTGCTTGCCTCTGAGCAGTTTGCTTCTCTGCGCGCGCATGCCAGTGTCTGTGCTTCTGGAGTCCGACACTTCAGAGACCTTTTCAAGCCAACTGTTTAACAGTTCAACAGATGCGAATTCGCTTCTTTTCCGCGCATGCCGTGCATTTATGCTAGCAGGCGCGCATATTTTCCCTCCCGCATGTGAAACCGAATCCTTATTTCAGACACTTCACTCGCATACACAGCGCTTGGGCTCGTGTTTCGACAGGGGCTTGCGCCACGACTGCAGCTGCCTGCATGTCGCTGTTGGCAGCGAGGATCTCGGCTCAAGAAAGGGGCAGATGCCTTATGTGCGCTGAACGTCGTTCTAGCCCCACAGCATGCCTCCAACTAGCAGCTAGCAGTAGCCAGATTCTTAGCAGCTTCAGTTGACTGCGTGGTTCTGCCACCAAAAACATCGCGTGGAACCACCGCGCTCGCCAGGCACCCAAATCCGAAAGTAAGTTCATTCTTCGGCTCTTTTGCCATGGTAGTTCAAAAGCTCGAAGGGCAAGCTTGCCTTCGAGCTGCTGGCCTATCCTGGGCTGCTTCTCTGGCTCTAACACTTTCGGCGCTGACACTTCAGCAGAAGCCACGGAATGACCCCTTAAAGCTTCGAAGACAGCTCGAAGAGCACCAAAGTCCAAGAAGCCACCCAAGGCACTCCACAAACTCCATGACGAGAAGATCGATGATGGGTTTCCAAGTGCCCGGAAGGCAGCGGACACCCTTCAAAAGGAATCGTTTGTACGTCGAAAATCGAGCTGCCCTCGCTGAAGCTCGTGTTTTGGTTTTGGCCTCCCTTTTTTGGATGGCCGTCTACGTTGTTGGACCACTATGGATCCTTCCATTAGTTCCACTTGTTCCATTTGTTCCATGTGTGCAGCTGGCCGCTTCGAGAGTTTCAGCGGTCCGGCGGCTGGGGCGGCGCTCACGCGGCAGCAGCGGCGTATGGAAAGCAATCAAAGTCGCCTTGCTCGCGACCTTCCTGTGCACAGCTTTTGTTGGCCCTCCACGTGAACGTCAGCCGTCCCTGTGGGATGCGCCAAAAGCGGAAACCCGAGCGGAGAAACCTGACAATGAGCCAGATGACGATGACAAGCTGGCAAAGAGGGTTCGGGCCATAGCCATCGGCTCAGCTGGGGGCATTCTCCTCAGCTTGGCGGTCCAGAGCGTGCTGCGCCCAGAGCCTCCAAATGTTCCGCAGGCTCAGCTGCAGCGAAGCAGCCAGGGCTTCTCCGAGGCTGGCCCCGACCTCAATTGGGTTGGTACACTCAGCACCGGGGTAGTGATCGGACTTGGCGTGGGCTTCAATGTGGGTACCAAGCAGCAGCCGTCAAGCGAGTCACAAGAAAAGCAGCACAAAGACCACAAAGGCTTGTCGCGCAAAATAAGTGCTGACAAGCTTTCCGAACTTCAAAGCTCCCAGACCGTGAAGCTGGAGTGAACTCGGCAAAGACCATGTTCTTCCGTGTATGTCTCACAGTGATACAGATCAGGACACATCATTAATCCTGTGGCCTTAGCTGTGCAGACAGGAAGGACAGGACGCAGTCATTGGATGCAACGGCAGCAAGAAAAGGAGGCAATGTGCAGCATCTGGAAGCTTAAGTGTGCCGAGTGCCTTCTGCAACTGCAGGTGCTGACGCTCGGGGCCTCTAGGCTTGAGACGGTCTCACCTATACGAGCGGGTGATATGAGAAAGGTGCCACCATCATGCCCACAGTGGATACGGCGGAAAAAAAAGCCCCCGGGAAGAGAGGATCACATCGGGGATCAGCCACGAGAATGAGAATTCTGAAGATGCCGGAGGGGCCCGCCTTGCACTGAGGCTTTGATGGCAACCGTGCAGGTAACCAACGATGTGCCACTTGTCTGCGATCCGCAGCAGCGGTCGAATGCGAGTCAGCAAAGTGCTCAAGATACTGCTCAGATGTTTTACTTGCATCGTGCTTCAGGGGCCAGTTGCTCCAGGCAGGTCCTGTGCACCTTGAAAGCAGCTTTTGAAGTGACACTTCGAGCCTCCGAGCTACAAGTGAAGGCGGCTGTGGCAGTGGCATCCACGGCGGACCCTATTGTGAGGCAGAAGGAGTGCAGCCGCAGACTCGGCTCGAGCTTTCGACGTTCACTTTTGCTGCGGCTGCTGTGTGATCTGTACATTTTCAGGCACTGACTTCTTCGGCACTATCACATGCAAACAGATTCCTGCACAGGAGGTGCCCTTTGCAGCTGCCAATCTCTTTACAGATTTTGAAGAGTGATCTTCCGACTCAAGGTTGTCAGACCCGACCGTGACTCAGAGCAGCCGCGTTGTTGTAGCACTCCAACGGTGAGACACAACATGGAAGTCCGCGTCAAAGCACCGTGAGGTGTTTGAGATGCTGACTGCTGCAGCCCCGTACATCTGGGGCGCCCCTTGGTTGGAGCGTGAGAATTGCGACATCCACTGATTTGGAGCGCCAGCTCCTCTCCCTCCACACTGCCCATCCCCCCCTGCCCTAATCCAATCCCTAACATTGAAGATTCCCATTGTAAGTGCACCTCTCTTTGGGGTATATTCGCAATCATGAGGCAGCCAGGTTCAGACTGGTTCTTAGCTTTGGTGCGCGGTCCTTTCCCGATGGAGCCAGCGCAGGCGGTCATTACGGCAAGGGACCGAGGCCGGGTCGATGAGGACCCGTTCACCACGGTGATGATCCGCCGGTTGCCTGTGGACATGACGCCCGCCAAACTCGTGGCCATGATCAACATGATTGTCCCAGGCAAGTTCGATTTCATCTACACGCCGTATGACCGCCGCAAGAAGGTGAACATCTCCCTGTCCTTCATCAACCTCATGGACAGCATTAGTGCCAAGGAGCTGTGCGATCACATCAACAATCTCAATGCCTGTAGGCAATGGACCTTGGTGGCTTGCGACAGCAGCGTGCAGAGCCTCAGCTTCAATATGGCCTACTACGTCGCCCGCTTCGGCCGGAGCGCCATCCATGACCCACATGCACCATGGGTCTTCAAGGACGGAAAGCGTGTGACAAGGTCTGCACTCTCCAGGGTCTATGGAGCCATACCTGCATGGGTGTACGAGGAGGCACAGAACTTTGTGCGGGCTGAGAAGGCTGGGAACAGCAGCAAAGGCATCCATCGACGCGCTAAAGACCTCGTGTGGAAGCCAATCTTTTGGAGCTCAAGCGGAGAGAAAGGCGTGGATGTGGGCCAGTGCGATTCCGCTTGGGAGACACACTTGCCCGACACGAGGGATCACATTGTGCGCTGTCACCCCGACTTGCTTCTCCAGGAAGGCTTGGCTGAGCAGCTCCTTGAGAAGCACGGCCAGCTCCTCATCAGCTGCTGAGTATTCTGATTCCATCTGAATGAGTTGAATAATCTAAATCCAAACAAGTCCGATTCCATCTGAAGTAATCTGAAGGAACCATCAGTAGGTGGTGCCCAACTGTGCTCCAGCCACGAACCCCCAGGTCCTTCACGGTTCTTGGGTTGTGATCAAAGTGTACCGCAGTGCCACGCAGTGCCGGTAGTTGCTGCAGGGTCGATGGCTGGCACGAGGGCATCCAAAACACTTTGCCTGTCTCTTCACACCACCCTCGAGGTACACAGCTCAGCATCCCTGAAGGGAACTTAGCTTAGTGGAAGTAGTCGAAGATCAGGGAGCTGGGCGCTCCAATCCTAAGCGGGCTTGTACCTCCAATGTAGAAGTCTGCAGTTTTTGCGCGTACCCAGATTGACGGACCCGACTTTTTCGCCGCACTGGAACTGGACTTAAAGCAGGTCGAAGTTACAACATGCTTTTGCTGGCATAGCTCAAACGCCCTGACAATGGACGTCAGTGGGGTGTGCCACCATATGCTCTTGTCCAACACGCCTCTAAAGCGACTCAAACTTTTTGCTCCCAGAGGTCTGCTTGTCGCCAGCCGCTTGGCAAGGTGAAATTGAAGATAGCCCTGCGCAATATAGGATCTTAAAGACTTGAAGAGTTTCCAAGGTCATCAATGACCCAAAATTGTCATTCTAATGTGTACATCCCTGAATCGACCACATGTAGAAGCCAAAGCGGCAACTGGGCTTGGCCTGGCCCGACGTTTCAAGGAGTCCTCCTCTGACAGTTGGGACTCACGCACCGTCTCCGCTTCTCGCGCAAAGCCAGAAGTCAAATGCAAGTTGCATCCGCGGCACGTTTCAAGTATCTTTCAAGCCACTCGGTCTCAATCACAAGACGGGTCGAACGGCGGTGCCCTAAGTGCCCAAGCCCAACCCGGTTGTGATCGTCTTTCACCCTTCCCCCACATTGACGGACTCCACTTTTTTAGCCTCACTGGAGCCGACTGAAGCAAGTCGAAGTTACGAAGTGCTTTGCAACCGAAGGATGTTAAGGAACTAGGCCCATGCAAAATGTCAAGTTTATGATATGCCTGAACTTCGTCATCATGTGTTCCGCCCTTGACAGTGCACAGCAGTGGGGTGTGGGCTGTGAGTTTCACTGACCACCACCACGCCTCTAAAGCCACTATCGAGCTTTTTGCTCCCAATGGTCTGCTTGTCGTCAGCCGCTTGGCCAGGTGAAATTGAAGATAGTGGGGCAATGCAGGAGCTTTAAAGAGTTTCCAGGGTTCTCAATGACCCAAAATACTCATTCTGGTGACAGTTGCCCCCCCTACCATGGGGCTGGTTGAGGTTTGCGTCAGGATGTGGCCAGTCTGTCGGCTGAAGGGCCCCATGAGCCCTGCAAAGTGATCTCGCTCCGCTAGGATTGCACGTCCACCAGTTGCAACTTTTTAGCTCCACACAATACTTTTTACAGGACGATCTGTGGTGGAATCGCGAAACGCGTTTATCTGGTACAGGAGGCTTGCGCTTCGATGGTGAGGGAAAAACAAACCCAGGCCCTTTGGATATTTTGTAATGACATTCCCTTACTTATACTATGTTTCAGAGGACAGCATTTAGTAATACTATACTCAGAGGGCTTCAAAAGGGGCTAGATGAATAAGATGGCGGCTGGGCCGCCTTGCAGGAGGGTTTTGGGGGGTTGCTTGGGGGAGCTTTCACGGGGATAAGTCTTTCCCAATGCCCTCGAATGGTGTGCGAGTAGAGACGTTGCACGTGTCAAAGGAAATGGTTGGAAAGCTTGGCGCGGCTGTGATGATGCTGCTGAAGACTGTTTCGATTACCGTGCTGGAAGCCGTTCCAAGCTTACATCGCCATGTGGCACTGGCATAGCCGCATAGCCAAGCCATGTGTATTTGGAAGCACTGACATCGCTGCCAGGTTGATGTTACGGCTGTTTTTGGAGACAGTCTTGATCCACGCAGCTCGGGAGCGACGATGACTTCTAGTTTTTGACTTTTTCTACATTTGGAGCTGGGCAAGCAGAGCGTGGTTAAACTGAGGCTTAACCGGGGTCTAGATTGATCAGTGTGCGCTTAGCATAGCAGCTTAGCATGTTCTGTTTGAGCGGGTTCTTCATGAGATGCGAGATCTGCAAATACTGAGGTAACCTCACGGAGAACAGCACTGAGCCCGAGGAGGACGTAGTTGCGCCACTTGGCCCAGACCCGCCCATGGGCTGTGATGAACGGTATGCTGGCACAGCGTGGTACTGCCGTTACGGCCCAGTAAGAATCTACTTGGCGCTTAATTTTGGTTGGGCGATGAGGCTCTGGAACGTAACCAGGCTTCAGATACCACTGGAGGCGAGTCTTTGCCTCCACTCCAACAGACGTCTTTGATGGTCTGTTTCTGTTCGTCTGTGCGAGTTCACGACTACAGCAGCGCAGCTTCTGGCTACCACAATAGAGAGGTTGCTGCTGGACCAGGCGGGGGGGGTAGAGGTTTTCGGGGAGTCTGCAGCAATAGTTTGTTCAAGCCAGGCGGTAGATCCGCAACGAGCTCTCGATCGGTATGCGGGTGAGGAGGCTTGCAGTTTTGCACCGCTGGACAGCCTGAACGGAAGAATATTACGTGTTTTGTGCCATGGGAGGCTTTGAGTGGCATTGCTATGATCCTGCGCCTGCCTTAGAGATGCTGCTGCAGCTGCTTCGGCCCTGCGGTGCTCTGACTGTCTGCTCCGCCACTGACTGCACCCATCAGTCCAGTGAGCATCCTTGAAATCCGGTTCTGCACTCCTCAGTACTGAGCCGCCAACACTGTCCAGGCGTTGCTGCAATGCACTTCAGGGGAGTTTCAAGCCACAACCACTGCTACAACCATCACTGCGACGCTAGGCCTCTAGGTGGCTCATCCCTCTCCTCGCTTGGCTTGCAACTGGATGCGATGTTGACAAAAATCACAGGGTGACTATCAACTTGAGGGTCGTGCCTGTGGCCTAGGAGGGCAGAAGGGACAGGTCCCGCATTTTGTGTGAACTATGAGCTTGACGTCGACTGCAAAATGCATTGCGCACTGCAAGGGAAGATGCCGCCGCTTGAAGAT